TTCGGGCGCTTTAACAACGGTCAGTATGTTTTTGTCTTAAATAATTTTACTCTTTCTCTTTGATTTCGTAAACTAATTTCTATTTAAATATTTTTTCAAAAATTTATTTTTGTTTTGTTCTATTCATTTTGATTTTTGTTCTATTCATTTTGATTTTTATTATTTATTTTTTCAAAATTTTTAGACTTACCAAACAAAAATTGTCTTTTTTATTGTCAAAGCTTACAAAGTAGGGTATTGAAATGAAAAATGGGCATTTGGCGCTTTACTTACTTTGAAAGCTTTCTCAACATTGTGGATTTAGTCTATTTTAATAAAAAATAGTGTAATAATTTAAGTACTTATGTAAAAATATACTTTAAATAATAATTGTTATGCTTTCCACACGATGTAACAAAAATAGATTATCATTATGTAATTAATGTCCAAGTTATGGCATTAGCTTAGCATTTTTAATAATGCCAAAATTTGATATAAGCAATGGATATAGTTACAGATACAGAAAAGTTGTAAAATTTGCGATAAATTGTTAAAAAAGAGGTAACAATCGAATGCTGTTGCGATGTAAACGTGTTTAATATCAAAGTCTCAGGTATTAAAGAATTCACCTTTAAAATAAATTTTATCGTATGATTGTATGTTACATCCGTTTTATTCAACAATTGCTACTGATTCTTGTTATTATTTCTTTTTATACCCTGCACTTCGTGAAGGGTATATTAACTTTGGTATGGAGTTTGTAACTACTTGAAAGAGTCATCTGCTATATGGACATATATATATATACTTGCTCAGCGTAAAATTCTGCGTCGATTTAGACATGTCCGTCCGTCCGTCCGTTTTTTCTTTTGTGCCAAGGACGAACCCTATTGTTATTGGACTAATTCGGACAACGGGTTCGGGTAGCTGACAAACAACTCCAAAAGTTTATTTTAAATATTTCAAAAACTAATAAAGCTATAAATATAAAATTTTGTATACATGTGTCCAATTATATTCTACACATAGTCTAAAAATTAAAATGGGATAGCTGCACCGCTTCAGGTGACTGCCATACAACTCCAACAGTAAATTTTTTATATTCGGAAAAATAATAAAGTCAGATTTATGAAACTTGGCAGTCATGTGTCCAATTATAAGTCAAGTATATTTCTGAAGTTTTAGAGGAATTTCTTGACAGGTTCGGGTAGCTGCCATACAACTCCAGAATAATAAAGTCAGATTCTTGAGACTTGGCAGTCGTGTGTCCAATTATAGGTCAGACATATCCGTGAAGTTTCTATAGAATGATTTCACGGGTTCGAGTAATTGCTACACAATAACGAAAGGTGCAGGGTATAATTCAATCGATTTATACCGACTGAAACGTTTTTACTTGTTTTTATATTAAGACTGAAATTGTTTTCTAAATTTATTTTTTAACATGATCTATTTAATTTAGTTACATATCTATGTATGTGTGTGCTATACGATAAATAAAAGAAAAAAGTTATTTTAGTTTGACCAGGTTTACTCTGAATTACCAAATTTTAAAATTTGGCAGCATGGCAGAAAATTTGTGTCTAAAACATTAATTAGAGATGAAAATCAGCTTTGATAAAGTACGTATGTAGCGCACGAAATATATTAGCAAAAAATTGAAGTATTTTATTCCGAATAAAAGAGAAAAATAAAAGTACATATTTTTATTTCGAAAAAATTACCAAAAAACACTTTCATTGAAGATTTTTTTTTAACATTAATTCTGATCTACTGATATGATTACATTCTTTCAGTGTTCAGGCTCGAATTTTTGTCAGTTATGGATATTTTATTTTTCATTCTTTAGAATAAAATTTAATAAAACATTAACCTTCTGTTTCTTCATGAGATTATTTTAAAATATTGGCGTAATTTCATCAACATAACGTTCGCTTTATATGCATGAATGTATATATGTGCATGAATGTAAATATATATATACATCTCTTTATATATATATATATATGTATATATATATACGAGTTTAAACAATAACGGACAAAACTTATTTTACCAATGCTTTGCAATGGTAATCGATAAAATGCAAAATTTTTCTATTTTGATAATAATTTTTATGCTAATTGTAAACAATAATTGGGTTAATTGTTCAGCCGCTGAACCATTTTTTATACACTTTCGAATAAAAATTTCCGTATTAAGCATTTTCAATTTTTCCTCAATATATTATGCAAAAATTTTTAAAATATGCGTCGACCTGTAATAACTTTTTAACACCAAGTGACTGTTAACGCCAAATGGAATGATATGTACCTGAATTTTGTATACTTTTTAAAAATACTAGATGCTGTTAAAATTAGAAATTACATTGTAGGAATAGGGAATACCCTTTTTTTCTCGTTTCACTTGAGAATATGCTATTTACTTGTCCAGGCCACCATTTAATTGAACTGAATTTATCGTTAATTTGTAAAATTTTTTGAAATATTTTTTTTTATAGCTAAAACTGATAAAGCAATAATTTTTATACCCGTACGAACGTATGTTCGTAAGACTAATTTTAAAAAGTGTTTTTGCGCTTTATTCATTATTATACTTATTTGCTTTATATGAAATTTAGAGCAGTAACTCCAGCTACATACGTATGTTATATCTGATTTTTGATAGAATATAGCCATTATAAACAAGCTCAGCTCCATGTGTTGGGATACCGCCAGATCCTTTAATAGCCACGCTTATAGGGATGATCGTGTGCTTCAATTTTTTTATGTGGTAGTCCCATCCTATATTTTCTTCAATTATCATTCCTAAGTTCTCAACATTATCTACATTTTGAATTGTATTACCTTTAACCTTAATTGTGATATCATTAAACCTTTGTTTAGGGATTTTGAATATTATATAATTGGCTTTTTTTGAAATGATACACAATTCATTGTAATCTAGCCAGCAGCATAAGGTTTTCAGATCGTTATTTAATATATATTCTAATTCTGCTAATAATTTGGCTTTTGCAATAAAATTTGTGTCATCCCCATAAATGATATAGTTTGATCTTTGATATAAACTTCTGTTTTGGTATGTTCATAATATATATTAGCAGGTACAAAAGCGGACCTAATATAGAGCCTTGAGGTACACCTGTTATTATAGTTACTACATCACTAAGTACTTCTTGAGTCTTAACACATTGGGTTCTATTTCTCAAATAACTTTGTAGTAAAGCATTTCAAATACCTCTTATTCCCATGTTGCTTAACAGATCACAAAGTCTCCGATGATTAACTACATCAAAAGCCTTTGTTAAGTCAACGAATACGAAATAGTGCCCCTCGTCCAATGCATCATATATTTTCAAAAATATATTTGATCACTATTTTCAAAAAAAACTGTATTGATTCTTATCAAAACCTATTCCTTGCTTTATGAAATTTCTAATTCTTGCGCTCAATGCTTTTTCATATATTTTTTAAAATTGAGTTTAAAAGTGAAATTGGCCTACAATTCGCGCATTCCTCTTTTAAGCCAGCTTTATAAATTGGAACCAAGCTTGTTTTATTAACTTTTTTATCTCCTTTTTAGCTTCAACTTATTTTATCTTATTTTATTGTTCTTTCATAGTTGTTCGGTTTTCTTTTAGCTCATCATACAATGATTTCCTATATTTCAATTTTTCCACTAAGGGCAGTTTTATCCAACTGTTATTTCTAGTTCTAAAACGGAAAATTTTTGTACACATTTCCTTTGCTTCTTGAAGAGTTTTTATTAAAACATTAATTTCCGTTACCGTTGTTCCACCTATTTTCTCTTTTAGAAGATAGGTGGAAGAAAATAATCTGAAGTACTCGATCATAATCTGTTCTGTGCATTACCCGCGTTTTCATAGGCTATTTTTTGGGCATCTCGAAGTTAAAAGCAACCGTGGCTAGCTAGCCGATGATCTGATAAATTATTATCTTCTATTTTGAAACTAATATTGAAATTATTGTTAATATTTGTACGTTAATTATATGATCAATTAAAATCTTTGTTTGTTGTGTTACTCTTGTACTTTCAATTTTGTTTACTATGTAATATCCTGCAGTAGCTATCATATTTTTATATCTTACTAATATGTTATTATTTTCAAATAAACTCAAGTTGCTATCAGTAAAGAATAAATGATCTGAATTAGTTTATTTTCTAAATATTCTATAAATAAATTACTGTTTTCTGCTGGAGCGTAATAAAATGTACCGATTTTTATTTTCGGTTAAGTTTTTTTCTTTGAAAGTTTTTTTAAGCAAAGTAAGTAAAGCAAACAAAGGAAGATAATCGTAATCATTAATCATAGACCCAAAGAAAACTTCTTTCGGGCCTAGGTTAACAAATAGTGATAACTACTTTTGGTATAGTTATCACTATTTGTCAACCTAGTTTACATACAAAATTTTAATACAGGAATTCGAAATTCCAATAATTCTAAAAAAATAATATTTGATATTTAACAAATATTATTTTTTAGAATTATTCGAATACATTCAACAAATATACCAATAAAATTCAAAATTATTGCACTATAACTATATTAAAACAAACTAATATGAATTTGGAAATAAAATATACCTAAGTAAGTTTTTGCTATTTGCGTGTTTATAATATTTGAATTTAATTTTTGGAAACAAATTTTCAAATCAATATGACATATTTTAAATGTAAATATTTTGACTCATTAAGTTTTTGAAATCAATTCAAATAGTAATACATTTATTTGTAATTATGTATTGGGGTGATAATACTAGATTTTAATTACAAGTCAAATACTTCGAACAATCTTCTTCAACTTAACTTGACACAATCCGGTTTCGTTATATAGGTAACATGTTTGTACTTATATATTTGTATGTGTATATTTGTGCTTTTGTATATAAACAAAACATATTCCTGTTAAAATTTTTTTAAATACATACATCACAAAGCAAACACTTGTAAACCTATAAAATTCTAATACGCACTTATAATTAAATCTTCTACTTTTTTAGGTTATAATTTAATAACAGAATACAAAAAACAATCGCTCTTTAACTCTCGTCTGCAAGGAAGAACTAAAAAAATTATGCACGTTCATCAAAGGACACCACGTACACCTGAAAGTTATTTCAATGTGCCAGAATCTATAGCTTTATTAAATATTGTAAAATCAGAACGAATTCAATGTGCCTTTCAATCTAATCGGAAAAATCATGCCAGTGTGTGGGAAATGGTTGCTGGAATATTAAATAAATATAGTAATCGTAAGAGAAGTGCCAAGCAATGTTGTAATCGCTATGAGAACTTAAAAAAAATTTATACTCAACTGAAAAAGAATCCAGAACGACATGTTCGACGGAATTGGCCATATATGTATTTGTTTCGGGAAATTGAAGAGCAACGAGGTGAAACTTGGGGTATAACAAATAAAAGGGCTGCCACAAATCTTTTGCAATCAGCATTAAATGGTGAGGGTCTGGAACCAATTGAAATACCGGATTTGAGAGATGTTAATACAAGTGGCAATGGCTTACATCAAGATCATATTATTGCAAATCATCAACATCATTTATCAAATCAAACTCATCCGTCAACAGTAACAAATCAAAGTGCTGTTGCATCAGCTATAGTATCAAACGTACAATCATCATCAAATTCATCATCATTGGTTGCGTCAATAGCAGCTGCCGCAGCAGCTGCAGCTGCTGCCGCTGGTAATTCTAGCACGATTCACACAAATAGTCATGGCAATAATAAAATTAAACATGAAATATCATATTATCAGCGAAGAAAAAATATGGTAGCGTTAACGAATATGTTAATGAATCGTGAAGTAATGTTAACAAATTTAAATAATAATAGTGAAAATAGTGAATCTGATCGATTGTTACCAAATAATTTTGTTGAAACAGAATTGCATGAAGATGATGAAGATGATGATATCGATGATACTGATAACATCGATAATCAGAATGATTCAATTATGGTTAGTGACAACTGTAATGATGTAACACAATCTAAGAATAACAATAATATTAATAATGATCTAAGTATAAATAATAATCATGGTAGCATTGATTTATCAATGTTTGGTTTAAGAGCCGTTCATCACAACAATGATCATAATACTCAGAGTAAAAATGACAGCCGCCATAATAACATTAATAATCACAATATTAATTATAATAACAGCAATAATTGTAGTAGTAATAATAATAACAATAACAACAGCAATATTGCAAATAATCATAACAAAAAAAGAAATATTCAAGAATTTGGATTGCCAGACTTTTTAAGCAACATTAAGTAAGTATACATATTTATTTTATTAAAATAATTAACTAACTAGCATAGCATATTATTAATTATGTATCTTATAAAAATCCTACTGCACACTAACTAAACTTAATTGAATTAGTTTATAATTGAAATAATGTTTAATTGCAAGTGATTACCTATTTATTTTGTTTTTATTACTGTTGATTTTCTAATTTAATATTTAAAAAAAATCTCGATGTATGTATGTATTTTATAAGTTTTCCTTTTGAAATTTCAGGGATGAGCCCGTTTCGGATCATGAGTCATGTAATATTAAAACTGATAAAAACGGGTGAGCTCCTCAGTAGTTAAAAATATAAAATATTTTATTAATGTTTTAAATTATTTATTTTATTTTATTTGTATCAACTACATACATAGGTGTTTAATTTTTAACATGCATGTATACATATTGTTTTATTGTGGTATTTTAAAAGAAAAAATAAGAAAATGTTGTGCCTATTTTTTAATGGCTAGGTATCCATTATTTAGTCCTTAATTAGAATTTTCCTTTCTAGAAATTACACTTTTAAAAATAAGCTTTTCAATTTGAATTATGTTGCTTCAACTAACTAGTATACATATATTTATTTTAACATATACGTAATACTTGAAACAAAATATGGGGTATAAACACCCTTCAAAAGTAAGATAAGAATGCTACGTTTAAAACAAAAGTGTTTAGCAAAAATAAAATAACTATTTAAGAATAATTAGAAAATAGCACATATTTAACTGAAATTTACTTCTCGAACATTAAAATTTTATAAAAAAATTAATTTTATTTTCATATTAACAACCTTCCTTAAATAAACTTGGAAGCTAAATTAATTCGGTTACTAAAATTTTACAATTATTGGTTATAAGTGTATGAAAAATATACAAATATATTATGTCATAATATAATTTTCATAATAACAATTTTAATAATCACTTGCTTGTAGAGCTCTTGAGAAAAAATTTTATTTTCATATATGTAAATATGATTGTAATAATGTTTATGCGGAAATTAATATGCGTGTAATTGAAAAAGCATTGTAAATATGTTTTACTTCAATTTTAAATAATTTAGTCAAAATTAATTTTTGATATGATAAGAATGAAATCTATAAGTATGTATTTAGAAAAAAATTTTTAATATTAATTAAATTTTTCGTAAAACGGGAAAAGACCTTGAAATTATTATACAGCTACATTTTTAATATGCATAGTTTAGATATAAGTTACTATTTATACTTTTTCAACATACTAAAATGATTTATGTACCTGTTACTCTGTATGGTAAAATATTTTTTGATCATTTTCATATATTTTAGGCATCCAGAATATTTTATGAACGGATTAAATGGACATCGAAAAAATAGTATCATTAACAACAGTGATAGTAACAATAATAGTAATAATAATAATATTGATAACCATAACAACCTTAACAATAATTCACTTACAAATAATATCATTAATTCTAATGATATAACATTTGATCCAAATAATGATACATTGTCAGAATCTTCAAATATATCACTGACAACACGTAATAATAAACGACGTAAGTCGTCTACTACTGAAACGGATGGTGGTGAAAGTACAAATTATGAATTAATTGAATATTTAAGAAGAAGGGAGAAACGCGATGAAGATATGTACAAAAAAATGAATGATAGAGAAGAAAGACTTATTAATTTATTAGAAAGGACTGTTATTGCTTTTGAGCGCATAGCTGCTGCTGCCAGTACTAATATTGCAAGTCAACAAAAGCAACATCAACAACAACAGCTATTCGGTTTAAAAGAAAATCAGCAATTATTTATAAAACCCATAAATGCAAATCAGAGCTGTAAAAAAACTAATAACATTGATCATACGGATTTAAATGCAGTTAATAGTAATAATAATACTAATTCTGCAATCGAAAATATTAATAATGATAACAATAACAGTAATAATAATGAAATAATGAGTAATAACGAGAATAGTGTCAATAATGACAATAACCGCAATAATAATGATAATAACAATACTAACCTTAAAAGCATTAATAATAGTTCTAATAAAAATAACAGTAATATTATTACCGGTAATAACAACAATAGCAGCATTGAAACAATAAAAATATTAAATGTTGCATCTGTTAATAAAAAAAGTATAGAATCATCATTATCGTCGACATCGTGAAAATGGATTCAAATATCATTCATTATACTCATAAAAAATCACACAAAAATTCTTTTCAAGGAATTTTTTGTTTTAATTAGAATTTATTTTTTATAAATCATTATTTATTTGAATTTTATGAAATATTGCTTTAAAAACATAGAATTACATACATTGAGTCATAAACGTTGAAATATTTTAGAAATTAATTTAAAAAATTGCATTTTAGGAAGACTTATTTTGAGATAAACGGGGTCAAACTCAAAGCCATTAAGTTATTCATCAAAATTAAAAAAAAAAAAAAAGATTTTAAATATATGTATATTTTGTAATAATTTTCATTATTATATAATAGAATGTTCATTATTATATGGAATATTTGAAAAAGGTAATTCATGTTACATTTGAAATTTCATAGAAAGAACTATCAATTTTTGTTTAATTTTCTAATTTAGGAACTAGCGCAAGACTGAAGCATTTTCTCGAAGTTATATTAATTAAGTTAAACTAGTATTGTTATCATATTAATTAAGATATTTCAGAATAGTAACCATATGCTATTTTTATAGTTATATAAAATAATAGCTATTTGTTATTATTTTAAAATATTTTGATACGATTGGTTTTCCGTTATTATATAACTTATACATATAATTTAAAAAACTTCTAAATATTAAATTAAATATAAATAAAAAAAATCTCCAGTTTCTATATTTCAGGCTCAGTTTTTTATTCATTAACTAGTCATAGCTTTCGTTTTATTACGTTCTAAAATATTTCAATGTTATTACTTATTGCAAAGTAAATTAATAAGAACTCTTCAAATATGAACGATATTTTTAAAAAATTATATAAATTTAAAAAAAATTGCAAATAAACTTTCAAAAATTAATATACATCTTATGTATATTATAAATGTTACAGTATATATGTATGTATGCTTAGTTATAATAATAATTTTTTAATAATTAAGTAGCCCTTTTTTAATAGCTTCTTTTAAAATATACATAGACATGTATAACTTAAAACTTAAATATAATTAATTTTTATTTCATGTTTTCAAAAACGCCAATTAACTCAATATTCCACTAAATGTTACTTGTACATGTTCATACATTGTACATCAATTTAAATAAGAGATTGAATATGAGATTGACTAAATATAATAAAGCAAAATTTAATTGATTTATTCAATTGGAAATTATATAAAATCTTGCCATTACCAAAAAGAAAGTCGAAATGAACTAATTATGTCGAATATTTTTGAATATACCAAATACTGTAAGAAATTCAAATAATTATAATACATATTATATTAGTTTTTAAATTATTATATTTTTGTAAGTAGTACTTAAGTAGACCTAGTTTTTTTAATGATTATTTTAAATACATATTCTTCAAAACACGTTGTCAAATTAACTTAGAAATTTTGAAGAACACTTCAATGAAGTTTAGACCAAACAGCATTTTTTTAAAAACTTTATATACTTTATATACATTCAGTGAAACTACATAAAATCACTAAAGTCGTAAACATCATTAATTAAATGTAAATTCATAATCTGTATGAAGTTACATTTCATAAAGATTATAAGGTTACATTATCAAATTTGTGATGTAATTGTAAAGCTACTGTGTCACATTTATGAAATTCAGACCCGTATCACTTTTTGCGGTGCTGCATTGAGCATATTTAACAACAAATTAACATGAATTAAATACCATAAAGTTTAATTACAAATAATTTATGTTGCATTAATAATTTTGATTAAAATTTAATATAACAATGGGTCGAATCTTGTTATTTTTTTAACTTTTATAATTTTTGATTAACTAACCAAAAATCAAACCCATGATCGTGCATACCTTATTTTATTGCTTGTTTTTAAACAAATGTTTATTATTTTTTTAACATAATTTTTAAAAGTAAAAGTTAATAATACCTTAACGTAAAAAAAATTAATAATTACATATTTCAATTGCCTTTGGAATAAACTTTATTCCTTATACGCCTATTATGATGCAAGAAAATTTTTCGAACACAGCTCAATCACATTAAAATTTAATTACACTTTCGTTCACTATAATTATTCAATGCCAACACATCAAAATTTTCGAAATATGTATAAGTAATGAATGAATAAAACTATTTCAAACAAAAATTATCAATGTAAAACAAAATTAAAGTTATGATTTTAATTTAAGTTGTTCGTCAAATCGAATATTAATGCCAAATTAAAATAAAGCATTAAAAAAATATTATAACGTGCCAAAAATTTAATAACCTAAAAGAAAATTCTAGCTTGAGCGGTTAGAGTTTTTTGTTTTAATTATAATTTAGGTTTAAGTTTACATTTTTATTTAAAACTTTAGGTATGTTAAAAATGTATGTTATTACACTTTAGTTTAAGATTTATAAAACAAAAATCTAAACATATTTGTTTAATTATTTTATTAGTACAGAAATGTTTTTTTTTAATCTTCTAAAATTTTTTTTAGTTCAATTATGAAAATACAATGAAACTAAGTGCCAATAATTTTTTATATGAAACAATATCAAAGAAATAAATTAATAAACATGATTTAAATTGTTATTATTTGATTTCGAATAAATAATCGAATCAGCACCTTTTGTTTGGAAATTAAACTTAAGAATTAACTACAAATTTACCTTCTATTTATTTATATATGCCATTCAGGGCAATCAATTTAACAACATAATATATACATAAATATATATATATATATATGTACACATACGAGTTATCTAAAAAATTCAAAATCAAAATTATCATTTAATAAAATTATAACATTGCTATGATTAAATTATAACCATAATTTAAATGATTGATAACATACTTATTACTGAAGTACATCTATTTAAGAAATTGTTCAACTCTCCGTCAACATAACACTAATGCAATCACTTACCAATATTTGTACATAAAAAATTCGCTTAGCTAAAAGAGATAAGAAGTATAGAGATAAGAATTAAAGAGATAGAGATAAGAGATACCTTCTTATTTTCAATTTTATACACATAGGAATTTTTGGGATGTAGAAAGAGTACGGAATAAATGTTTACCTATTTTTTTATAATGTATTTTTAAAGGCGAACAAAAGTATAATTTTCGTATTAAAGTATAGGGAAAATTATTAAGCACTTTAAAAGCGCCCAAAACTATTCCTGTAATTCATTCCAGTATAAAAGCGAAACGATTTAAAAAAAATGCGTCTTATACCCTACTCATACAATGAATAACATATTGCATTGCGTTTAACTAGAAATTTTATATGGAAAAATTCTTCCCAAGTAAAATGTGTCTGCCACCATAACATACTTTTCGAAACATGTTTTCCTATTGTGAAAGATTTATTTTTAAGATTTTTTACTCAAATCAAAAAATATTTTGAAACAAACTTCAAAAATTTATAAAAAAATTTATCTCCATAATAATTTTTAGTAAATTGAAATCCAGAAATATTTCAAAATACAAAAATGACATGAATACAAAATAGAAAAATATTTTCTATAACAAAATAATATAAAAAGTAAAAAAAATTGCAGAATTTAAAAATCCAAATTTGAAAATAGTCATATCTAAAACTCATTCAAAATCCAGTATGGACCAAAAATTCGATATTTTTTTTATTAGTTCTATTAGGTTTATAATTTCTATGCAAATGTTTTGCACTCCAAAAAAATTCATAGAATTCAGTATTTTTGACGAAATAAGCGTAATCTTCGAAAAGTTATTGAAGTATTGCAATAACATGCAGTAAAAGTTGAATGTGAAAAATTGAAAACAGTAAAAAAAAAATCTGATGTGGTCAGCACATAACCGACCGCAATGTGTATTGTCTAGTTAAGTGAAAGTGTTACAGAATATTATAAAAATGTCTGTTAAATACTTCTTTCTAATTTTTAGGACATTAGTAAGCTTATAGTTAACATACCTAGAAAAATGTAAATTTGGCTCTTAGTAGAGTTTCGCTTTGTGCTACCCGAATTCCCTGAAATGCTCGCCAGTTAGTTTCGGTAACAACCAGAACTCAAATATCAAATTTCAAGAAACTCCATCAATTCGTTCCGTAGATATGGTGAAAAATGTAAAATCGGCCCGCAGATCAGTTTTCGAGCCCTGATCTTTCCAAAAAATTTACATGTTCATTGTTTTAATACGAGGAACTCAAATATTAAATTTCAATGAAATCGCTTGATTATTTCTCTTTATATACACAAAAATGTATATTTGGCCCGTAGTAAACGTCCAGTTGCTGACGCCTGATTTCTTCCAAAAGTTAGGAGGTTTCATCGCCGGTAGAGCAAAACTTATATATGAAATTTCAAGTAAATCGATTGAATATGTTCTTCAATATGCTCAAAAATGTAAAACAGGCCCGCTAAAAAGTGCAGTTCCCGAGGTCTGATATATCCCAAAAGTTGATCGATCCGTGCCATGGTGGAAATAAACTTACATATAAAATTTCATCAAAATCGGTTCAGCCGAACTTGAGATACACGCGTGCACACACAGACCGACAGACGGACAGACCGACAGACCGACAGACCGACAGGTTGCTAAAAATAGTTTATTTACACTTCCCTACTATGGAGAAGTACGTTCCCACCGAAAACTCGATATGCAAAATTTGTTGCCATCACATAACCTACCTATTGTTTACACAATACGGTCGGTAACAATGGCGAACACTATGGTTGGAACTTTTTTGCAACATGAAATCGATACAATAATTTATTTCTGAAAAAGAACAAGAAAATTTTTTAGCTAATTCTCCATTTCACTGTTAGCTATCAGCACAAAATAACATTTAAAATGAAGATTATGTATATAATAAAATCAATCTTACCTTACCAACAATATGAAAATATCAAAACCAGTATTCGGTTAATCAAGTAGAAATTCGCTGTCTATTGAAATTCACATTAATATGAATATTATTCAACTTCAATAATTATATCCCTTATTGTAAATATCACTCGTAGCACTGAAATTCGGAGAAGTTACGAATTTCATATTGAATTCCGTAGTAGTAGAACGAAATCCGAAATTCCTAATAGAGTAATAATTATTAATCACACTCGTAAATTAATATAAGCCAGTATTCAAGAGTGGTCGGCATAGATAATATATTATATAATTAATAATAGATACATAGGTAAGTAAACACTTTTTTGAGGTGGCGACATTTTCATTTGGTGGTAGTGGCTCGAACTAATGCTAGTTCAAAAAACTAAATATAGATGTGGCTTTTAGTGTTTATTATTTAAATAAATTGCTATTTCTAAAAAATATTTTAATTTAAAATTTTATAAATGAAACAGAAAATATACAATAAGTTTTTAGTTTTATTTATTAGACAAATAAATTAAAAAACTTATTTCAAATTTTTTTGATTTGAAAATTCATTTTTTTCCATATTTAACGTACTCCAACTGACAATGCAATCTTAAAAAATTATGTTAAAAAATGTCAATATAAAAAAAGTCAATAAGTACATATGTATATGAAAAATCGTAACCATTTCCACCAAGGTTTAGGAACCTGAAGCTTTTTGACTTAAAAAGAAATTGTTCGAAGTTGGCATACCGTGGTGGCGTGAACTTGGTCATTCAGCAGACCTTTGAAAAATCTGAAAAACTGCAATTTCATTAAACATTTATTTTTTTTACTTACAAAAGATGTCAACTCTGAAATATCCTGTTATAGAAAATATAATATACGAACTGTTTGATTACTTAATTCATAATTGCATGCGACCACACAGTTGCAAGTGTGCGCACTTGAATATAAACTTATTCAATACAAATAAGCAAACATGTTGTTTCTCGAAAATTGTGTATAACTATTTCCTGAAGTCGATTATTCATTTTCTAACTATACATTTCTTCTTTTATATAACGTTTTCTATTATGGAAATATTTTATCTATGTAAAACATTTCGGCTGTTTCATTCTCGTGATACATGCAAAGATATGTAAGTATTTTGAAACTATTTAAATTAAAAATAATTAATCTTTACATTACATCATTTCACAAATAATTGGGTATAAACGGAAAAAAATCGATGCAGCAACGATGCAGTAATACTTTAAAGTTTGGTGTACAAAAATGTCAAAAATACGCATCATATTAAATCAGCTGTGCATAAATTCTTACAATTTTGTATTGATGCATTTTTTATGTGGAAGCTGAGAAGCAAATAATTTATAATTTTAACTCAATATTGAATAAAGTTAATTATTTCTTTATACATGGTATTAATATTTTTAAATGTTCCATTATATTAAAATGTCCAAAACTTAATTGAAATTAAAAAAAAAATGTTTAATAGATTTTCAGTTGTTTATAATTTTAATACTTTTATCAAACCTTTTCAAAATAAACGCCAAAAAACATATGATTTAGAAAAAGTCAAAATAATATTGCATCAGCAAGGTAAACGCGTCACATCGGTATAGCATCAGCAACTTTTTTCGCATCGACGCTGCATTGCTGCACATTTTTGATTACTTTCCGATTATACCCATTGTTTCGAAATTCCTTTTTTTTTACACAAATAAGTGGTTTTTTTAAATTTATTTTCTTTTAACAGATATTTCAAGTAAATAAATATTTTAAAATATTTTTTAGTTATTACTTTAAATAAAAATTTTTGTTTGTCTTGCATATACATATTTTATAGTACATAGTCTAGATAAAAAAAATAAATATGGCCCTTCTACAAGTTTGACAATATTCGGTCTGAAGAAATTAGTGCTGCCAGATGAAACAGCTCAAATATATCCATTTTTGTAAAATAAAATCTAATTTTGAAGATTTATTTAAAAATATTTTCACGAGGTCAAATCCTATCGTGATCTTCATTTGAAGATCAATTGAAAAAGTAAGAAGCAGGGTTGTTAATTTTACTACAATTGTAGTATTTTACTACATTTTGGCGTTCTATACCACTGCAAAGCTATTTTTACCACTTTTTTCCCTTTATACTAGAAAATCTTATTATTTGCATTACCAATATTATATTGTTAAAAAACCACTTGCACAACTAAAAAAATTAAATTTAGAATTTTGTTTGAAAAATGTTATCGTGAAAGAAACGTCTAAACGCTGAAATTTTTTATTAATGAAAACTCGCAGTTGTAATTTTTAATATGAAGTATAAATGCGAACTTTTGAACGCGGATACATTTAGTTTATTAAAATTTGTTTTGAATATAATTGCGTAAAATCGTTAAAAAGTCTTTACAAAGCTAAAAAATGTATACACCAGTAAATTTATATTATAAAAATAAATGTAAATTATTGAAATATATTATCAAAAATAATTATACTTCGTTCCACCCCTCTGAAATATACATATATATTCTTATTATTTACATATTTATTTATTTATATATATATTTATTTATTCTTATCATTATTATTCCATCAATAAACGTATAAATGCTGATGTCCCTCAGGGATCAGTTTCAGCTCCTATGCTTTATAATATTTACACCCATGATTTCCCTCAAGTCACAAAGTGTGAATCCTCAATTTTCGCAGACGATACTGCAATATTCACATCAGGATTATTGGCTACTGATATTATAAATAATATTCAATGTTCAATTGATATTCTTTCAAATTACTTTGAAAAGTGGAAAATCTTAATAAATCCGCTAAAAACACAAGCTATATTTATAACCAAGAAGAGAAAGGCTTGTTTCTTACCCCAAACTAAATTAAGAATTCATAATACCCCCGTTGAATGGTCCAATCAAATTAAATATTTGGGTGTCATATTTGATAAGAAGTTAATTTTCAAAAATCTAGTTTCATATGTAATAGACACACTAAATTTTACCATACGGACTCTTTATCCTTTTATTAATAGAAAATCTAGAGTTAAGTTAAGGTAATATTTCAACCCATGATTTTTTACGGTGTACCAGTTTGGGGTAAGTGCGCCAATACCTGTATCAGAAAACTTCAAGTACTGTAAAATAAAATATTAAAAATGATATATAACTTACCATTGCGTTACCCTACCCTTGCTTTGTATGATAGTGATAACATTTAATATCGGAAAAAATGGATATTTTAATCGAAGGGTTTTCCATAATTGTGAAAATTCTGAAAATCCCTTGATAAGACAAATATCAACAAATTATTTATAAATTTAGACTCAGTTTTACTATAGCATAAGTTTTAATTAAAACTAAACTGTTTATAGGTTTTTCTTTAGTTTTTCCTATTATACATTTAAACTGATTTTTTTTTTAGATAAACAAGTTTTTTAAATAACATGAAAAGAATAACATAAAATTCTAGCACTTAAGACATAAGTATATATTAAAATTATTGTAAAATGTATATTTAACTGGAAACAATAAACAATATTGAATTGAATTGAATAAAATATTTAATAATAAGTGTCAAAAAAAGAACTTTGTAAAAACTTATGAAAAAAATATAACAAGTGAAAAAAAGAAAAAAATTTGTATTGGAAAAGAATTGGAAAAAGAAAATGGTGTATAGTTCCAAAATGTTATTCCCCTTTGCAAAAATAAACATTTTTTTTCACAACATTTACATGTTAATATTATTTGTTTCAATAATTAAAAGTAATATTTATTCAACAGTTCTTTGATTAATTCGTAATTTGTCATTTTATTAAGTTTTTAATTATGCAAAGAAAACATTTGCTTTTGTTTTGTTTTGTTTTAAATTAAAATTACTTCGAATAACACAATTTTACCTGGACCGGAATCTTTTTTAAGCAAAATGAGGTTATGTTTGATAAAATGTAGCATACAAACAAATATTTTAAATCAATTTTTTTTTTATACCTTTTATTAGAGTTCTCCTAGAAATGATCAAATGAAATATATTTCCATTTATAGAGTGAAGATTTAGAGTTGCTCAGTAAAGCTTTCAAAGCTGATAATATAAAAAATTTTTTAACAAAATATGTTCATTTCCGAGGATCATAAAATATTGTGATATTGAAATACAATATTTGCAATTTATAAAATAAATTTATTCAAAGAAAAAAAATAATGAATTTCATTTAAATTTGTTTTTTTTTCACATACATACATATGTATATCCAAAATGAAATTTTGAAATATATTTTGAAATGTTTTTAGTTTTTACTTTTTTAAGTTAAAAATTTACCTTTGAAATCTTTTTACAAATTACACATATCACACATAGTAGAGGCCAGACAAGAATATGTATACAATATGCTTATGTTACGACTTTGACTATGTTTAGGGCAAAGAAAGGGATAACTAGAAAAAGTTTGGCTTTATGGTTTTTTCAAGATGCTCCTACCTTTAGTATTTCTAATTCGATGGGAAAACTAATAATATCCACTATATGCCATATAATGTTATAAGTCGTATTCGCATTTAGTTAATGCGCAAAGTCGATTAATTGCAGCGGAGAATATCAAAAAAATTTTGTCATAAAAGTAGTGTTACCACTGGTTGCCAATTAAATTGACTTTTTGAACAAAATGTTTTTTGAAATTGAATAAAAGTTTAAAAATTTTAAAAAAATTTTTGAACAAACAATATGATCAAAAAACCTTTATTTTGAAGATAAATCTTCATTTTTAGTAGCGTTAAAAGAAAGAAACAACTGAAAAAAGAAAAAATATGGTTTCAATCAAATTGAAATTGAAATAAACTTGCCACTTTATTATACTAAACATTTTCATAAATGCAGTACATAGCGATATTGAAAACTATGCTTCAAATTACACATATTTTATAGTAGAGGCCCTCCTCTTGTTTCTTCATAAGCATTAGAGAAATGATAATTATGAGTAGCGTAGTTAAATCATATGAATAGACAGTGTTGATTTTATTGAATAGTAAAAATTATATTACATGTTTCTCACGTTATGTTTTTGCTTTAATGTGTTTATAAAAATCTCTAATATTTACAGACAACAAAAGAGTTGTCCCACATTTAACTTTTATTCAGAAGCCATTTAGCATCATACAACGCCTCCCCAACATCACAAAAAAAAATAAATTTATATACATACATACAGTGTTTACGTTTTTATTTCTTCTTTCTCAATATTGATATTTTTTTTGTCTTAAGTTTATCTCTTCCTTCCATGGACTTTTTGGATTTGATTATTTTTTTATTTATTATTTGTCTCAACTGTTCCTTCACTTTATTGTAATCTTCTTTTTCATTACTATCATCATTTATTTTCGGCCTTTTACATTCAAAAAACTCCTTTCCTTCTGAAGAAGAAAAATTCAAGTCATAAATTAAAAGAAGTGAATTTCACTAATATTTTGGAAAAACTAGCTTATATAATGTAAAGACGATAAGTATGTACCTTTTAATCTTTTATCATTTTCAAAAATAAAGAAACTTTCAATCCATACTTCTGATTTTGCAGTATTATCGTTTCCCATTTTAATCTTATTTTGTTTACTAGGTATTATTTCCATTTCCTTGGTTTGTAAATTGTCTTCAGAATCTGATGAATCAAACTTGAAAGGATTTTCTTCAACATCTAAAATTGGTTTTTTTGAGCTTTTGATCAAAAATTTTTCGTCGGTTGGATTTATAATTTTCTCTTCATTTCCTTCTTCTTGTTTGCCAAACATGGATAACAGACTAAATCCATCACCCCTGCGTTTTAAAGAGTTTTTTAAATCATCATTAATTGCGTAAAACTGATCTTTGGACACTTCGTTATCTCTTTCTTCTTTTTGCTTTTCGAAGTTTGCTGTCTTCAATTGAGTTTTATCTGAAGCCAAATTACTTTTTCTTTGAATTTTATTTAATGAATCGATAATTTCCCGGTGATCCTGATTTTTCGGGTCATATCTCATAACAGACTGGGGAAAAATTTTTCGATTTGGGTCAACTGGTCGCGAAAGTTTATGTCCAACTATTTCTTCCATTATTCGAATTTGTGCTTCTTTTTCATCTTCGTTTTCGACATTTACATTTTTACTATGAGTTTCTGACGAAGTTAGTTCCAAATCATCCGCCTCCTCAGCATCAAAAAAATGTTTATCCATTTTAAAGCGAGGATCTGCGTTAACATTATTCTTCATTTTTAATATATTTTGGTCAAAAACTCTACTTGTTTTTATTGAATTTCCTAAATTATTTTTATTTCCTTCATCAGAATCATCTTCGTTTTCAAACAAATTTAAAGTTTTATGTACAATTTTTTCTGGCACTTCTTCTTCTGATTCGTAAAAATCGAATTTAATTTTCTTAGAATTTATGGCGTCCTAAAATATTTATTATGTATTTAGTTCATATTATCAAATTGCTAGATTTTCCTACCAAACCAGATAAAGATTTTTGAATAATCATTTTCTTATTTGTATAAGCCTCATGCATTTTTTGCAATGATTGTATCCTCTTTTCGTTATCATTTAAAGGTTCTGGTTCTTTAGCTTCTGCTCCGTTAAATTTTTCATGTGTCATCAAATTCTCACAATTCACGTCCTTTTGAAAAATCTCATCATCAGAATCGAAAGTTTTCCTTTTTTTGTTATCACCTGTCTGAAAACTGCTCTGCTTGTCATTAATTACACTTTTGCGGTAACCGTTCTCTTTTCTAAAGGGAGTACTTTCAAAATATGAATTAGCCTCTTCGCGTTCTTTTTTTAACTTATCTAAGAAACTTTCTTTCGCAATACTAACATTCAAAAACAAGCCGTTTAAATCTTTTTCCGAAAATCTATTTAAACCTGAAACAAAAATAATTATACATATATAAATAAATATACACATATTCTTAGCTTAAATTTATTTTCTTTACATTTATTGAGTGAAAATTCATCAGTTAGAATTGTAACAAAGGCGAAATAAGTTGGGTTCTCTGGATCTACTAAATTATTTTTTCTTTTTATTTCTATACTTTCAACTTGTCCATAACGACCAAATGATTTTTGCAAATCTTTTTCATTCGTCTCGCTTGTAATATTACCAACAAACAACCTCCTTGACGATTTTTCCATAATATAATTTTAATATTATCTTGGTTTTTCAAATAAATCAGCACCCATAAAGTTAATATGATTATATTTTTTTAAGAAACTCGCTGTATAAAATCACGTGTATTCAAAAAGTGACGTTTTCGTACGCTTTAATATACTATCTTATAAACAAAACAAAATTTTGATAAGTAGGGGTAATAACGATAGCTCTTGGCAAAATTGATATTTTGATATTATTGTGAGTGAAGGCTAGATAACGCTTTGTCGCGAAAAGCAACCGGATTGGCTGCCAGTTTTGATTATTTTGTATAAAAGTGTTAACTTCATTCACGTTTGGTAATTTTTCCAAATTGAAAAAAAAAACAAATTAAAACAAAACCAAGTAATCTTGATTAAAAATAACTTAGTTACTCTTTGAAAAGATCAAATTATAATTTTCAAATAATTTTTAATAAAACACTCTCGCCTTAATATTATACAAAATAAGCCCAAAGCTTAATATTATACAAAATACAACTAATTTGAAGTTATATACATAAAAGTGATTATATTAAAATCAACTGAAAGAAATAAAACAGTGTATATGTCAATCAAATACAACTAGTAGGAAAAGCAGAAATTCGTATTAAATTCATATCCATACTTATTTATATGTCTCACGGATATACATAAATAAATTTTTTTCAGACTATATTTAAGTTACCTTACTCTTACATATATATAAATTTACCTTATCGTTAGAAATGGATTAGTAACCAATTAGAATTATTATTAATGTATGATTAACTATTGTCATTAACTAAAGGAAGAGCATCTTTGTTTCTATTTCGCGCTCTGCAAAAAGTTGTGTCAAAAAAATAAACACAGTGAATGTAATGCGAGACAAAAAATTTAAACTGGCAGCTTTTTCTAAAATCTTTTGTTTTTGAAATTTCTGACTGTTTTCTTAAAGTAACCATTTGAACTATTTTAAAATAGTCTTTCCCCTTAATGTATATTACCCAGCATTTACACGTACAAGTTACTTGCAAGAAAGTTGCAAAACATACAAATATTTTACTAACACATTGAAATATTTCTACTTGCTTGTTTACTTGCAGTTCAACTTGCAAGAAAATTTTGCTGCCAGTAATTTGAGCAAGTAATTTGACATATTGAGAAATTCACAAAAAAAAATTTGTTGTTTTGATTTTTTTTTTTTTAATTTAAAATTTTTGAATTTTGTTTTGGTTTCTAAAATTTATAAACAATTATATATATTGCTAGTTGTTTTCTTCTCAAAGACATTTTCAAAAATTAACTTGCTAAACGCCTACGTCATAATAGCAAGTAATTTGACATTTCGAACAACTAATTGACAATTAATATTATACAAACTTGCATGCAAGTAACTTGTATGTGTAAATGCTGGGTTAATGTGGTACTTATGGTTATTTTTTTAAAAAACTATGAATAACAAAAGATTTTGTAGGTTAAGATTTAAATATTGCTCTTGCTTAGCAAATCATTTTACTTATTATAATCAAAGTTTGTAAGGCTATAGAAAAAAAGTTGAGTCCCATAAAAATAAAATTTGAAAAGGGCGACGTCGGGAAAAGGGAAGCGAAACAAATTTGGAATAATGCATTAATTTTACCATTATCGTAAACCACGGTTTTTTATTTTGACCTATAATCATAATTGCAAGAACGTCCCTCATGGATGTTTTGTTCATATCATCGTCATCAGAGTGTGCAGGTGTGTTAATAGCAAAATCGACAATTTTTACAAAAAAATGTAACCAAAATTCGCAAAAAAGTAATACATATACATGTTTGAAAAATTTTACACACTTTCACATTCTATATAACGTAAGGTATACTGAATGTAAAGCATGCAAAGCATTATAACATAATACATTATGATATTGCCTTTAATTTAATTTTTGATACATTATATAAAAATTTCTGTCAAAAGTAAGAGAATTGAAAAGGCCACTGAATCGCTGTTGTTGGTTGTAAATATGGTGTTCCAATTCCTGATATAATAAATCAAATATCCATTAAAAATAAAAATAAAAAAAAATATGTTTATAAATAATAGATTATGTTTGTTCATATCTATATACAATTTGTACGTCAAAACTTCGTATTTAGTTCCAAAAACGACACCAGGTCTCGCATTTTTACTGTTAACTTTCTCAATAGAATGGAATTAAGCAAAATTGAGAAGAATTTTTGTTAATACCGAAAATAATGAATTTTACAATTATACTTTTTTAAAATTCTTGCAGCAAATTTTTAGAAAAAGTAGCTCAATTGACGAAAAGTAGGCTAATATGGGCACTTTGATTATCATCAGCAAAAAGTATATTGCAAGTAATAAATATCAAAAAAAAATATGTTCAGTTCAAGAGCTTTAAGATATTGTAATATAGAAATACAATACTGTATGTGATTTGTATTTAAAAAATATTTTTTTTTCACAGAGAAAATAAAATTAAAGCGTTTTATTTAAATTTGTTTCTTTTTTTATAGATAGTTCAAATAAAAAAAAATTTAAAATATTTTTTAGTTTTTACTTTAAAAAAAATTTAACTTATTTATCTTTCTTACAAATTACACATATTTTATGGTAGAGGCCAAATAAATAAATAAAATGATCCTTTTATGGCTTTGACAATGCTTGTAACAAAAAAGAGAGAACTAGAAAAAATTTGGCTTTATTGTTTTTTGAAGTTTCTTCCTCCTTTGGTATTTCTAATTCGTGTGTTTTTCAACATGATCCTTTCTTCAGTATCTCTAGTTTGTTGAATGTACTGGGGTACTTATGCATCGGTTTATTAGGATTTTTACATTGTGTATGAAAAACATCAACATGATAGCATGCAAATTACTTTACCGATGGACAATTGAATTTTAAACATGGCGTAAAAATTTTGCCTTGTTTTCGAAATTTCAAAACGAAACCCATTCCTGAACTGTCATTGAGAATGACAAATGACATTTTGAAAAATAATTTGTCGCCTATAGTATAGAGCGGTGGACAATTGCTGCAAGGCTACAATTAGATTAGTCAATAATCTTGCTTGCTTGTCGTATTTTGGGAAATCATCATCATTTTAATTAAATAATAATTGTTAATTTTATATTTTTGTGAAGTTTTTTAATTATTGTGAAAGATAAATAAATATCAACAAAAATGGCAGAAGGTCAGAAGAAAATTACGTTAAACGTAAAAACGCCAAAGGAAAAGAAAACAGTTGAAGTTGACGAAGATGCCGAAATTAAAGATGTAAGTTGAAAAAAATTTATTGAAATAATGTTCGAGAAGCGTTGACGCGTTTTTTTCATTTCAATAATAGAAATATTACTTGCATTGCGAAAACACAAAATGTTTGTTTTTTAAGTAAAATCTGAAGGAATTAATTGACTTCTTAGATGTAGTACTCATAAAGTACGTGGCCTTTAAAAAATTGAAATTAATGAAATTGAAAAATACTTATTTTGAAAAATGTGGTAGCGCAGATACAAATTTTGCGTCAAAAGTCAAAAATTGTGTCATGTCTTGAAACAATATAATTTTACGTAAATTTATTAAAGAAAAAAAAATGTATATCCGGAAGTTACCATTTTTATCTTTTAATTAAAATTCAATATACAAGATTTTATTCCAGTTTTTCCTATGTTTGTGGCAAGATATTGCAAATGAGCAATATCTTGCCACAGAATGAGAATTTGGAAAAAACATTTTTAGTTACTAATTATAACTCAATTGCTTTTTGAAGTGCTCCTCGCAATTTCCAGACTTGTTGCAATTTTAGTTGTACATATAGTGTTTAATTCATATTTTGTTTGTTTATAACTCAATTGGAAAACAAAAATCTCAAAATGCCATTTCGATTTTTTATCATTTTATAATTAATAAAAATTTTAGTAAGTTAGAAGTTTTTTTATATCAGTTGCAATTTTTCTTTTGGGCTGTTAATTTTAATTTCGAGTGTATTTAGTTTTTTAAATATGTTAACCATTCTCTCTGCTTCAATATTTTCCACTCCAAATACTTTATAGCAAAAGTCGTAAAAATTTATTTCTTCAGGTAACTTCTTAAAATTCCGTATAACTTGTGCATCATTTAATTCACTGATTTTACGTTTTATGCCACGGTCTTCAATATCAAGCAATTGAAGAAGGTACCGCATTGCTTGAATTTCATAAACTGTTTCTCCTTTGGTTGTCATTAGATCCAAAAAGCGTGAACGATTCACAGTACTTATTACACTATTGCTAGTTACTTCAGAATCAGTACTCTCTTTTAACATAAATTTTAAGCAATTTAATATTTTCTTAAAACGATAACCATCAACTGGTCTATGATTAAAATATAATTTGATGAGATCTGTAAAAGATATGTGGGTTAAAGTGTCTATCGAAGAGTCTCTGCTCCTTTTGATTTCATTTATTAAATTTTTAGCCTAAGAGAAAAAAATTTATCTTCTAATAGAAATCTCAAAGCTGAGTTTAGATTAAAATAATGAATAGTATTCACCTCGTATTCGCTAGGGAAAAAGCCAACAGCTCTCATAAAATCTATTACATCAGCTATTTTAATGAATTCTGTTATCTTTTAGCAAAAAAAATATATATATAAAATTTAAATTAGCATTTCGAAATATATTTAACTTACGTTTTTTCTTTCAGCGGCGTCAGTAGATTCGCTTATTAATTGAATATAATAGAAAAATTGAATCATTTCATTGAAAACATTACCATTTTTACCTCCTGGTAAAAGCTTTAAGAACGGTTCTAATCCCTTACCGCCAAACTTGAATTTTTTGTTAATATTTCTACAAAATCAATTGTATATAACAAGAAAGTTTTTATTACAGTAATAAAGTTACTCTCGTTTTATGTTCCAATATATTGGGCCAACATCTCCTACACCATGCACCAAAACACCTGTAAGATCATTATTTAGTCGAAATAACGTTATCTACAAAAATAAGATAAAATTAGTGCTACTTTTATTTGAAAGCAAAATACATATAATTTTTATATACTTCTGTGTGATGTGCCAAAATTCCAGAATATTTAAATGGATTGCCATCTATAGGTAATGTTGCCGTTCCAATACTTTTTTGGGTTGCAAAGAGTAACATTGATGGTTCATCAATACCAAATCTTGGTGGACAAAACTATGTAATTTAAAAAAAAAAGGTGTGATTGTTATGTTAGGAGAAATAGCACTTATGCTAAAGCTCTTACGATAATTTTTTGTATTGGACTGTCGTAAATAGGTCCCAAAAAAGTGAATAAATTTTCAGTGGTGTATGCGTCATAAAACACAAATTTGAATTGATTATTAGCGACAAGAATGACATTTTCACATTTTGATGTGCAATTGTTCAAAATATTTGATTGTAAGAAGCTAGCGGCAGTCAGTTTTGGTGCTTGATCTAGACGAATATCACTTTCTGGTATTAATGGCTCTTTTTCTCCTTCAAATATTTTATAACGAACATACATTCTATCGTGTCCTATTGTTATTAAGTAGTTTTTCTTTTGATAAATGAAAAAAAATATACTGATTATTGGCATACAATGGTAATGATATTTTGCTAACATATCCCATTTTACACCATTAAAATGTATATAAATTAGTGCGTTTTTGTTGTCCTAAAATTTCATATTAACTTAAATTTTAAAAAATTTAAATTAATTAAAACTTACAGTTAAAACGCAAAAATTGCTATCGTTGTTTTTAAAGACTATCTTTTTAATCGCATAATCTGTAAATTTTAGTGGAAATTCGTGAATTTCTTTTGCAGTGATTGGATCAATCATCCATAGGTGCCCATTTGCATATCCTAATGCAACTGAAGTTTCTGGGAAAGTAATATAAATGGAATCATATTTCATATTATATCGATTTTTCATAGTAAAAAAATACCTACCGTCATTAGATACTTTGATGTAAGAAATATTGCTCCTTACTAAAATTTTACGGTCAATTTTGAATGATTTGTCCCTTGGTTGGAAATTGTATTGAGTAATTTTTTTTTTGGTTTCATAATTGTATATCATTAAACAATTTCCTTTTGTACAACCAATCATCCATGGTTTAAATGGATATATGTCCATTGCGACATAACAATCTTGTGGTGATATTAATAATATAGTCTGCTTTTTTTTAACAATATCAATTAAAACCAATTCATCTGTATTAGTTACTAAATTTGTTTGAATTAGTTTATGTTGTTAATGCTACAGTTATTTTACGTATTATGTAAAAATATTACTTACTTAAAAAAAATTTAGTGATAATAAAAGGCTCTTCATGAATGGTACAGGCTTGGGGACATTTCTTTCGAGAAATTATAGTTTTTTCACCATCTTCATCTTACATTGTAGTTATTTTATCAAACTTAAATATAATTAAAAATAAATTGTAAATTTTTTACCTTGTATAATAACACTTTCAGAAGCAATTTTAAAAGTTCGTCTTTGAAAACTGGGTTTGATAGCAAACAAAGTAACGTCGCCTAAGTTCAACTGTTTGGTTGTACAAATATACATTAATTTTACGTTTTTATCGTAGAACCTTATTTCATTGTCTTTGTCAACTATTGCAATATATTCATCAATTTTCTTCATGTCAATAAATGTTGAATTTTTTAAAGTTATAATTTTGAATAACTTTTTCCTGTTTTGGGTCTGTTCTTTTTTCTTTGAATCATAGTCATCCCATAACAAAGCCTTACCATGAACCATTATACTTATGGCTAATGCCGAATTCTTAATAAAAATAGTAGATATTATAGAATCACTCCATCGTAACGAAGATGGTTTGTGAATTGTTAACTTTCCATCATCTTTTATGAGACCAAAAATAACTTTTTCATCAAAACTGATAACAAAAGATTTTTCATGGCCTTTATTACAGTTGAATGTTATATTTTTGACTTCACCATATGAGTTATTTAATTTAATACTGTCTAAAATATAGTTTTGAATTTAAAATATGTTTGCTTTGAATTAATTTTTATTGCCTTCGAAAATGTCACGATCATATGACCAGTTCCAGTATTGAATGGTGTAGCCCATCACAAACTTGCCTTCTCCATCATTTATGTCTTTTTCTATTTCTGTTAGTTCATGTAAACAACTAATAATAATTAAATATCTGGAACACGAACTTAACGCATAATTCGCAGCTTCAACATTTTTTCCAAATGGGTCTCTAATAATTCTCAAAATAACTACATCATCATTGCATTTTAAGTCCCAGATAAAAATAGTTTTTATATCAGAACTAATTAAAATTCTTTTATCGTCACTTAAAACAATTCTTGTTATTGCGTTAATCTGAAAATAGATTGCATACTTTTTAAAAAACATACATGCATTTATGTACATACATATTATTATCTTCTTAAACGTACATGTCCAGTCACATGCTTCCATGCTTTTTGTATTACGTTATATAAACATATGATATTACTCATGCAATAAACTATTATAAGTTCTCCACGTGTGTTACGCATTGAACAAATCCCAGCTTGTTTTGCAAAGCCAAATGTGGTTCTCAAACTCTTACAATATTTAAAAAAAAACATTTTGCAATTTTTTAATTTTTTGACATTTTGCATCTATGGGTACTTACAAAAGGGTGAAATGCCACTGAATCTTCATCATGCCCCTGATTCTTAGATGCCACTAATTCATCATTCTTCTTTGTTGGCGTATTCATTTTTATTTGAGCTTAATCATGAAAATTGATTATCGAATGTTGAAAAGTTTTGTTCATCAAAACTCACTTTATCGACTACGGTTGCTAAGATATAAACTGTTTTTTCAATATTTTTCCCTTAATATGTTACCTATTCATTTTTAATTTTTTTTATTTTTTTTCTTGTTTTAGTTTAAAGCAATCATCGCAGAAAAATTTGAATCTGAACCCGAGCAACTGGTACTAATTTTTGCCGGGAAAATAATGAAAGATTCAGATACTTTAAAAACACACAACATTAAAGATGGTTTGACCGTACATTTAGTAATAAAAGCACCAACGCGTCCAAGTGATGAACAACCAAGACCGCAAGCTGATATAAGGCAGACGCCGTTTGGATTGAACCAATTAGGTGGTTTAGCTGGTTTAGAAGCCTTAGGTGCCGGTTCATCAACATTCATGGATTTACAAGCACGTATGCAAAGTGAGTTATTAAATAATGGGGATATGTTACGTACAATATTAGATAATCCATTGGTACAGCAATTGATGAATAATCCAGAAACCATGCGTACTTTGATGACATCAAATCCACAAATGCAAGAATTAATGGAACGTAATCCTGAAATATCACATATGATTAATAATCAGGAATTACTACGTCAAACTATGGAATTAGCACGTAACCCTTCAATGTTACAAGAGCTAATGCGTTCACATGATCGTGCCATGTCTAATTTAGAAAGTGTTCCTGGTGGCTATAACGCATTACAAAGAATTTATCGTGATATTCAAGAGCCAATGCTAAATGCAGCAACTGACTCAATATCTCGCAATCCATATTCTAGTTTGTCAAGTGAATCAGGAAGTAGCGCTAATCCTCAGCAGGGCACAGAAAATCGTGCTCCGTTACCAAATCCGTGGAGTTCTGGTGGTGGCGGTAGTGGTCCAGGTAATCAACCAACACCAGGTGTTATGAATACACCACCAATGCAAAGTTTGTTACAACAAATGAGTGAAAATCCAACATTAATGCAAAATTTATTAAATGCTCCATACACAAGATCAATGATGGAAGCAATGGCATCAGATCCTAACTTGGCAAATCAATTATTGAGCACAAGTCCAATATTGGCTAATAATCCAGCATTGCAAGAGCAAATGAGTACAATGATGCCGCAATTTTTACAACAAATGCAAAATCCGGATGTTCAATCAATGTTTACTAATCCTCAAGCTTTAAATGCTATATTACAAATTCAGCAAGGTATGGAACAATTACGCGCCGCTGCACCTGGTTTAGTTGGCAGTTTGGGTATACCACCGGCACCACCAACAACAGCAGCATCCTCAACTACAACAACATCATCAAATACAACAACAACTACCACAACAGCTGGTAGTGGCGGTGCTGCAGTTGGAACTGGTAATGCACAAATATTTAATGAATTTATGGCTAGAATGATGAATGGTATGGCAAATGGTGCAAGTAATACAAATGTACCACCCGAAGAGCGTTATTCTTCACAATTAGAGCAATTATCAGCTATGGGTTTTGTTAATAGGGAAGCTAATCTCCAAGGTAAGAATTTAGAAATAAATAGAGAGAAATTTTTACTTTCACACAATAATTATTTTCTATTTTCTTTTTAGCTCTTATTGCAACTTTTGGGGATATTAATGCAGCGGTTGAACGATTACTTGCTCTTAATCAGCTATCCTTAAGCTAACTAGCATAATAGATATTAATATATACATTATTAAACTTAAATGTATCTTCAAGAAAATTAAAAACAACTATAAATAAGGAAGAAATGCTGAAAAAAAGGAAAAATTAATTACAAACCTAATAAAAACATTTTTTTTCTGGGGACATTGGAAGACATATTATTTTAAATAAATTACATTAAATTGCAAATAATAAGAGCTTGTAGGTAATCCATTAGTGTATATGTATATGATCTATCTAGGTGTATACATATCCATTCACATTCATTAAGGTAATTGAATAAAAAAAAAACTTAAAAAAAAAATAAAAATGTTTATTCGTATGTTTGAAATTATTAAAATTTATCTATATTTAAAAAGGAAATATTGGTTTGAATCAGAATTAAACTTATTACAGATATAAAAAAAATGCTTTGAAAAAAATTTTCAAACTATATCCATATTTAAAAGCAAAATTAAAGATAATTAATATAAAATAAAGATGTACCCTTTTACTTTATAAAAGGAAATAATCTAATCAAATGAGAACATTCAATTGGAAATATTGAATCCTTTCATTTAAAATAAATAAAAATATAAATACATACATATGCAAAAATTGTAAAAAATAAAATAAATATTTTCAGAAATATATACATACATAAAAATTAACGTGAGCAAATTTGGTAGTGTTACATGATAGTTTTCTTTCTTTGTTTTCAATTTTTCATTTTGAAAAGTTATAATATTCTTAAATTTTATATTATATTTTACATATAAAATAAATACTTAATACATTTCCTCTTTTCCCCTTTTCCATCCCATTTTCATTTATTGCATAATAATAATTATACAGTTTTTTAATTGTAAATATAGTATTTGAAAACAAAATGTAATCATTACAAGAAATACAAAAAAATGTTGCAAGTAAAAGGGAGTAACATAAAAAAGTAAATAAAAGAATATGTTTTAATTGATGTTTTTTTTTTATTTAACATAATTTATTTACAGGAATTTCTGCTCAAGATGATGAGTTTTAATGTTTTAATTTATTAAATTTAAAAGTACTATTTTAAAATTTAAAGGATGCTGAGGCTCACGAGGTAAGGTAACGTTAATAAATAATTGTTAAAATTAGGGTATCAAAAGAAGTTATTGTAAAGCATTCATTTGGCAATAAATGCTAGATGATTAACAGTTTATATAAATGCTATTTATATAAACAGAAAGTGCTTAATATGTATTTTATTTAAAAAGAACAAATAATACAACGATTGATTGACCTTTCCCTTACTGAAGAATTTTGTAAATAGGCACGTTTTGCTATTCCTGTAAGATATACTTAATATGTACATATGCGCATACACATTCTTAAATGATGGTAATCTGTTCTATGTCAACATATAAAGTTTTAAATATTCGTACTTTAAAATGTAACATTTATCAGTTAGATTTATAAGTATGTATGCAAGTAGAGTTTTATTTAAAACAAGAATAAATGAAAGAATCTAAAGAATAAAACAAAAATCAATTGAATAATAATTAAAGAAAAAAATTTCTCTTACGCCGATTTCTTTGCCAAGGACACAATGATGTAAATAAAATGCAAAGTTAAGCTGATCGCTGCTTTTTAATTTAATGCGTAGGTATTAAACAGAAAAACGAAATGTAGATAAAATAAGGACGTATGTACATCATTTTAAAATGCAAAACTAGTTATAAATAAAACTCGTTGTTGGTAGTATTTTAGTATTTTAGTATATTTTTTTTAATCTTTAACATTTGGCTGTTATGCAATAATTTTTTTATTATATTTCGTCATTAACAATTTTGACATCTCTTGCAATTTTATTACTAAATCGCTCACCTGGGAATTGCTTATGCTAAGAAATGTTTTTGTAAAGTTCCCTATTAAATTAAAACAAAAAATACCATGGTGCATACAGAAATATATTTAATTATAACTTATTTTTAACTCCATATTTTATATAGATACAAACATCTACATTATTTTTTAATTTCATAGTGCTTCCGATTTATATTTTGCATATTTAATAAGCTTGTTAATATTATTATCTAATATAAAAAATGACTCGAAATGATTTCCTTGATTTATAGATATGCTTAAAAGTTAAAAGTATAAATTAAATATAAATTTTAAAATATATATTTTTATAATTTAAATCGTATAATAAAATAATTGGTTTTTTTCTTCCCTTGGTAAATTGTACTTCTTAAATAAGTTCCCTAGTTAAACACACATATTAAGGGATTATTAGTCTTTGAAAATTTAATTAAGTATACTTTTAATAGACAAATATCAAATTATTATTATAGCTGTTACAATAAAAATTATAATTATATATAAATGAAGTACTTACGTAAATATGATATTTTAATAAAATTAAATTTACAACTATATTTTATGTTAAATATTTTTAAGATGCAAAGATACAAATATTTACATCTAATTTGAAGCTGATAAATTGTTTTATAAAAAACAAAAAGCATATATTTATTCAAAAAGTTTTTAATTTTAATAAAGGCTGGTTTTTTTCATGATTCTAAGAAACTCTTCTTGATTAACCTCACCATCACCATCTAAATCAGCTTCATCTATCATTTCTCTCAATTCTTCATCCGTTAAATTTTCACCCAGCTCTCTTGCAACTCTTTTCAAATTTTTAAATGAAATTTTTCCGGTTTCGTCATCATCAAATAATCTAAATGCTTTTAAAATTTCTTCTTTGCTATCCTTTTCAGCCATTTTCATTGTCATTAACTGCAAAAAGTCAGTAAATGATATTTTACCAGTATTATCCTTATCGATTTCAGCTATCATTCTTTTAATTTCTTCCTTCTTCGGTTCAAACCCCAAAGCTCTAATTGCTACTTTAAGCTCTTTGCTTTCAATATGTCCTGTACCTTCAGTATCAAATAAATCAAATGCTTCTTTTATATCATTTTTTTGTTCTTCAGTTAGCTCAAATTTTGGACCAGATTTTTTTCTCCCTCCAACAGGCTGCATTGTTTTTTTATTTGTCACCGCTGCTGTATTTTTTTCCATTTATTTTTTACAATACTTTAGGAACGTTGATTAGAATTCTTTATCGCAGAATTAATTGAAATTAATTTGTTTTGTTTTTCAAACTTGTTTAATTTTTAATTTGTTTGTTTAAATAGAGTAAACATTTTTGAATATTTTGTTTTGTGTTGGTTAGAAACGGTATTCAAGTTCACGGCCTCCACAATTTTCTTGCTTTTAATATTTATAACTAGGCTGGTTCTTATGTTACTCGACTTGCAGTGTGTAATGTAAATGTATAGACTACATATTAAATATACACTTCTCCCAATCTCACAAATTTTTGTTTATTAATTTTTGAAAGACAATAAAAATGTTGAAACAAATTGTCAAACACCTCGATCGAACAAGTTCAAACACGATAAAATTTTGCAATACAATACAACTATTACACCGGCTGCGTTTGTGTACGCGAGTACATGCATCAGGGCTTGTCCATTTTCTTGTAATATTTGTGTTTCTATAACATGTCATCAACATGATCTCCATTTCGTGAAAGTACCTTAAAATAAATATAAAGTATGTAACACAATATTAAAGAAAAGCTTAAAAAAGGAATTCATTTAAGATTTTTTTAGGCGAAAATTATTTCTGCATGATATAGTACACGAAATTTTTTCTGAATAAAACCGATTTTCGTGCATACAGTGAACCAAAAAAATTATTTCGGTTGCAACTAGTAAAAAAATTTTACTTATTTGTGAATACATGTGTAAACAACCTTGTAGTTTGATTCGTTTAGTTTTATATACTTATAGATATACGCCGTAACCATACTCATGTCAACAGAGCCATTGTACTTATTGTTTGCACATTAACATAACAAAAAATTAGTGTTTATATCAGCCGTACTTTGTAGTAACCAATAAGCAATACTAAAGGAAGGAGCATCTTGAAAAACAATGAAGCCAAATTCTTTTTAGTTGTCTCTTTCTTTGCTCCAAGCATTGTCAAAGTCGTAACAAGAACGTGTTTATTTTATTTTCTTATTTGGCCTCTACTATAAATAAAATTTAATCGACATTATGTAAATCGAATATATACTTACAGAATGCTAATACTACATACTTCTACAGAATGCTACTTTCGCATGCTTTTTATTCCGATGCCATATTGTTTACGAGTCTTATTGCGAAAGTTTTCGAAAAAATGAAACTAAGCAATGTAAGTGTTGAATTTATTTAGCTTTATTAAATTAAAAACTTGTATTTCAAATTTAGTGCATTTAACTAAATTTCTGTAATTAAAAATTATAATAATATATATCAATTCCATATTCAATGCAATTATTCCATATTAGACTGCCAGGACATAATTTTATTAATACATTTAATTTGAAGTCTGATTAAACTGCAGAGATTTGGAAAACGCAAACAGATCCCATCAAGTCTTTATTTTGCAGTTATTGGTTTGCACAGTAAACGCTTAGTATCAACCCTGTTTGATATCACAAGTCGGTTATATTCACAATATTTTTGACAAGCAAAATTTTCATATATTTTTACACATATTCGAGCTCGCTTGATAGAATATTTCTTAAATAAATTCAATTTCGCTCGCTTAAAATGACATAATTAAAATTCTTACTTTTTAAAAATAAAAAATGTAAATATTTTTGTTTGCGACACCTGTTGGTGATTGTTTTTTTACAAAATTTTTGCAAAAAAAAATATACCGTTGTAATGATTATACCGTTGAATTAGTTGTCAATTACGATTTGTAGTTGGAAAGAAGTGGTAGACGAATTTCAGCTGGACTTATTAAAGTTTCAAATTTTCAAAACCAAATATATTTTCTTCTTTTAACTGTTTTAACTTCACACATACATTATGAACTAAATAAAATACCCGAATACTATTGAATTGTTTTCGTTTATTTTAAGCTTGCTTATTTTATAATCACCCTTATTGTAAATCTCACTCGTAGCACTGAAATTCGGAGGAGCTACAAATTTCATACTGTGAATTCCGTAGTAGTAGAATTGTATTCGGAACTTCGTAAAAGAGTAATTATTAATCACACTCGTAGTGAAAATAAGTGTTCAAGTAATAAGTTGATTTTTTAAAGTCTGTGTTTATTTTCTAAACTTTTTTTATGTAAAACAGGAAAATGCAAGTATACAGTAGAACTTATTTTATCATAAAATATCGATTTTAACACTCTGAAAAATAATGTTGAAAGATTCATAATCTGTACGAGTGATATTTATAATTACTCAAAAGTCTACGTTCGTAACTTAGTTTGAAATTGGTAGAATTCCTCGAGTGAGATTCATAATAAGAGTGAATGTGACCTTATAAGTTCATAAATAATGTGAATAAATATCAGAGCAACGCCTAATTTTACAGCTCCTTTAAATTAGAAATTTTTTAGTTTTCTATGTGATATTAAGCATCTTTGACTGTATTATAATATTGAAATGGTTACTAGTAAATATCATAAAACTAGAATATTGTCCCTTCATATATATATGTATGTATATTCGTGTGGAAAGTTGAACATTTTGTTTTTCTTATTTTAGTCTTTTCAAAACAGATGTTGAAAAATAAAATAAGGGTAAGATACAAAGATTTAATGATTTAAATTTATCGGATAAAATGTACCAAACGTCTCGTACCTAAGTACACTGCTATATACCATTGTATGCAAAACTTTTGTATGGGGACGATATTCACAGTTCAACAGGTTACAAATGCTTAAAGTCAATCTCTACCGATTTTTCTAGTTTTTGAAATTTTAAGTATAACCTCGTTCATGTGTCAGATAAGAACGTTACAAAATGAGATTTGGAAACCTCTCGACAAGGATATTTTCGTGAAAATCTACATTAGTTATCGTCTATCCAGATTTCGGAATTATATGACTTTAAAGTTCGAAAAATTTAAAATTTTAACTTTTCATTTTCAAAAATTTCAATTGTTTTGGATGACGTAATATTTATTTTTTTCCTAAAATCGTGGTAACAATATCGCCAATCGTTTTAGCCAATCTAAATTTCATTTTCTTTTTCTCAAATAATGCGATTAAAAAAAGTACGTTTTCCAAGCAAGGGTTTTCCAAGCGTAAAACGCGGTTGTCTCTACATATTTATTACATACTCGTTTTTAAAATTGCTATATTTTTTTTTTTTGAGCAGGAAATTTTTTTGTTGTAGCTTAAAAATTTAAGTTTTCTCTCAGATTTTCAAGCCATAGGGCATATTTTACGAAGGTAAGTTTTCAAATGCAAATGCAAAAACGGAAAAAGCGATCCCACGAACAAGTTAACCTATCGTTCGTTTTTTTATGGATATAGAGAAAATTTTTTTTTTTTCTGGGAAAAATTAGATTTGATTCAACTATATTAAACATCTTTTCTTAAAATTTTTAAATTTTGTTTTTTTTTAAATGAAGTTTGTAATTTATGTTGTGTCATTAGAGCAATTTTTTAGTTTTTCTTGAAATACCTGAGTTTTTTTGTCAAAATTAATTCAAAATAAATTAAAAACAAGTAAAAACGTTTCAGTCGGTATAAACCGATTGAATTATACCCTGCACCTTTCGTTATTGTGTAGCTGTTACTCGAACCTGTGAAGTCATTCTATAGAAACTTCACGGATATGGCTGACCTATAATTGGACATCCGACTGCCAAGTTTCATGAATCTGACTTTATAATTTTTCCAAATATTTAAAATTAGCTTTTGGAGTTGTATGGCAAGTCCCCGAACTTGTCAAGCAATTCCACTAAAACTTCACAAATATATCTGATCTATAATCGGACACACAACTGCCAAGTTTCATGGATCTGACTTTATTATTTTTCCAAATATTAAGAATAAGCTTTAAGACTTGTATGGGAGCTACTCGAACCTGTCAAGCAATCCCATTAAAACTTTAGAAATATGTCTTACCTATAATTGGACACACGACTGCCAAGTCTCATGAATCTGACTTTATTATTTTTCCAAATTTTTAAAATAAGCTTTTAGACTTGTATGAGAGCTACTCGAACCTGTCAAGCAATACCACTAAAACTTCAGAAATATATCTAACCTATAACTCGACACAAAACTGCCAAATTTCATGAATCTGACTTTATTATTTTTCCAAATATTTAAAATTAGCTTCTGGAGTTGTATGGCAGGTACCCGAACCTGTCAAGCAATTCCTCTAAAGCTTCAAAAATATATCTGATCTATAATCGGACATCCAACTGCCAAGTTTCATGAATCTGACTTTATTATTTTCCCAAATATTTAAAATTAGCTTCTGGAGTTGTATGGCAGGTACCCGAACCTGTAAAGCAATTCCTCTAAAACTTCAGAAGTATATTTGACCTATAATTGGACACATGACTGCCAAGTTTCATGAATCTGACTTTATTATTTTGCCGAATATAAAAAATTTGCTGTTGGAGTTGTATGGCAGCCACCCGAACCGGTGCAGCTATCCCATTATAATTCTTAGAGCATATGTAGAATATAATTGGACACATGTATACAAAATTTTATATTTACAGCTTTATTAGTTTTTGAAATATTTAAAATAAACTCTTTGAGTTGTATGGCAGCTATCCGAACCCGTTGTCCGAATTAGTCCAATAACAATAGGGCTCGTCCTTGGCACAAAAGAAAAAACTTGTGAAAGTTTGGTGTCGATTGCATTATTCGTTTTTGAGTTATCGTGCGATCGGACGGACGGACGGACGGACGGACGGACGGACGGACGGACGGACGGACGGACAGACGGACATGTCTAAATCGACGCAGAATTTTACGCTGAGCAAGAATATATATATATGTCCATACCGCAGATGACTCCTTCAAGTAGTTACAAACTCCATACCAAAGTTAATATACCCTTCACGAAGTGCAGGGTATAACAATAAAAAATACATTTCGTCTTGTAACAAAACAATTTTTGGTATTTTTATCGCCATTAACAGTTGAAATTAACTGTTTAATACTAGATATAACAAAAATATCAAGGCCTGGACCTTGACATAACAAAAATATCAAGGCCTCGACCTTGACATAACAAAAATATCAAAGCTTGGGATCTTACTATGTAATTTGATTTTCGTTATTGCAGAAATGGAAAGGTAGTACCATATAAATCAATTAGTACTACTTTACCATTTATCCGAATACGAGAATCGTTTCAGGAAAATCGAATTACTCGTATATAGTATAAATAAAGAAGAATTATATGGACTTTTAATATAAAAAGAATTCACATATGCAATAATTTTTATACCCTGCACTTCGTGAAGGGTATATTAACTTTGGTATGGAGTTTGTAACTACTTGAAGGAGTCATCTACGGTATGGACATATATATATATTCTTGCTCAGCGTAAAATTCTGCGTTGATTTAGACATGTCCGTCCGTCCGTCCGTCCGTCCGTCCGATCGCACGATAACTCAAAAACGAATAATGCAATCGACACCAAACTTTCACAAGTTGTTTCTTTTGTGCCAAGGACGAACCCTATTGTTATTGGACCAATTCGGACAACGGGTTCGGGTAGCTGCCATACAACTCAAAGAGTTTATTTTCATTATTTCAAAAACTAATAAAGGTACAAATATAGAATTTTGTATACATGTGTCCAATTATATTCTACATATGCTCTAAAAATTTTAATGAGATAGCTGCACCGGTTCGGGTGGGTGCCATACAACTCCAAAAGTAAATTTTTTATATTCGGCAAAATAATAAAGTCAGATTCATGAAACTTGGCAGTCGTGTGTCCAATTATAGGTCAAAGATATTTCTGAAGTTTTGGTGGAATTGCTTGACAGGTTCGAGCAGCTCCCATACAAGTCCAAAAGCTTATTTTAAATATTTGGAAAAATAATAAAGTCAGATTCATGAAACTTGGCAGTTGTGTGTCCAATTATAGGTCAAAGATATTTGTGAAGTTTTGGTGGAATTGCTTGACAGGTTCGAGTGGCTCCCATACAAGTCCAAAAGCTTATTTTAAATATTTGGAAAAGTAATAAAGTTAGATTCATGAAACTTGGCAGTTGTGTGTCCAATTATAGATCAGATATATTAGCGAAGTTTTAGTGGAATTGCTTGACAGGTTCGGGTACCTGCCATACAACTCCAAAAGCTAATTTTAAATATTTGGAAAAATAATAAAGTCAAATTCCTGAAACTTGGCAGTTGTGTGTCCAATTATAGATCAGATATATTTGCGAAGTTTTAGTGGAATTGCTTGGCAGGTTCGAGTGGCTCCCATACAAGTCCAAAAACTTATTTTAAATATTTGGAAAAGTAATAAAGACAGATTCATGAAACTTGGCAGTTGTGTGTCCAATTATAGGTCAAAGATATTTCTGAAGTTTTGGTGGAATTGCTTGACAGGTTCGAGTGGCTCCCATACAAGTCCAAAAGCTTATTTTAAATATTTGGAAAAGTAATAAAGTTAGATTCATGAAACTTGGCAGTCGTGTGTCCAATTATAGGTCAAAGATATTTCTGAAGTTTTGGTGGAATTGCTTAACAGGTTCGAGTAGCTCCCATACAAGTCTAAAAGCTTATTTTAAATATTCGGCAAAATAATAAAGTCAGATTAATGAAACTTGGCAGTTGTGTGTCCAATTATAGATCAGATATATTAGCGAAGTTTTAGTGGAATTGCTTGGCAGGTTCGGGTACATGCCATACAACTCCAAAAACTAATTTTAAATATTTGGAAAAATAATAAAGTCAGATTCACGAAACTTGTGTGTTCAGTTATAGATCAGACATATCCGTGAAGTTTCTATAGAATGGTTTCACAGGTTTGAGTAATTGCTATACAACAATGAAAGGTGCAGGGTATAATTCAATCGGTTCATACCGACTGAAACGTTTTTACTTGTTATGAATTATGAAGCATATAAATTTAATTAATCCATGAAAAATATATAGTTATATATGTACATATGAGATTTTTTTTGCAGTATAGCATTTATTGAAATTTTTATCCTAAAAAATGAATAGAGCCTGGAAGGTTTTTTTAAATCAATTTGTTAATGTTTTAATAACACAAACTTTAAAAACGTAAGCACTAGTAAAGTAAAAGATTGAATTTTAACTTTCTCTAATTAAAAATTTGAAAAAAATTTTATCTTGTGGGAGATTTATGATATTAAAAAAAGTCCTCTATTCCATAAGGATACGTATAAATTCTTAGCTGTGAACTGTCTCTTAGGGTCCAGGCCTGTCTTTCTGCCAGCCGTGATTTTTCTGCTTTAAAAAAGTATTGAATAAATTGAGAGGGAAACACTTGTGTTTACACGTTGATTACTGCACCAATATATGTTTCATTTCTCTTGCCAGAAAATAGACTTCCCCAAAAAAAAAAATTTTTAAAAACAAGTACATACAAGAAAATATTTTTCAAGTTTATTTTTATTTTTAATGAGTGAATAATAGTTGCAAACAAATTTGGCAAAAAAACCTTGTTTTGTTTAGCAAATATTTGCGTTATTATTAGTAACATGAGCGCTCTATGGTTTCTTATTTATTTCGAAGGTTCAAATATGTATGTATATAAAATTGGCATTACTAAGAAACATCTAAGGAAGTCGTCCAATAATGAGTTTTTAGTCCTACCACGAATCCCACCCGTAGAATTCTATGAATTACGAACTTAGCTAAGATGTAGACTTTTAAATGATCACAAATTCTTTTCGTAAAGATTTTGAATCAAAGGCTGCACCATTTTTCGGAATGTCAAAATCAGTATTTTATTTAACTGTCAAATGTTTATTTATATTTTTTGTTCCTATTTCAGTGAACAGTGAACTTTGATACAAAAGTATGTTTTTTACAATATTTTTTTCTATGAAAGTTGTGCAGTTTCTTTAGCTTTGGAATATTTTTGAAAGTGGAAAATAAATTTTTTAGCAAATATAAATTCATTTTCCTTCATCGTAGCTGAAGGTTAGAAAACTAACAAAAAAAATCATAATTTGAAAATTTAATACGCCCATTATTTTTAATATGCTTCTTACATCTTGCGTAGACTTGTGATATTGCAACTAAAAAATATAAATTAATATTTTATAGTTGAAATAAAATACTAGTTTTGACACTACGAAATACTGCTACTGGTGATTCATAATCTCTACGAAAGGAATTTGCGATCATTCAAAAGTCTATGTCGTAGTTAAGTTCGTAATTCGTAGGATTTTACGAGTGGAACTCATGATAGAGCTGATCAGGACTGTCGTTTCATTTTTTGTACGGAGAGCAGAAATATCCAAAAAAGGGAGCCATTTTAAAAAAAGTGGAGCCAATTCCTATTTTTCATAAAAAAACACTTTACCATACTTCAAATTTCCTTACTGTTAGTTAAATAGGATCACAACTTGGTTGCTAGCTTTTCGCATCAATATTTTTAAATAATTCTTTTAATTTTAAAATGTTGCCTAACGTTTTAAGATAAAAGGAGTTTCTCAATTTAGTTTTAACTAAATTAACAGAAGAAATGTCCTTTCAGCTACCACACTACAATGCGCTAAACTGAGGGAGCTATAAATAAATTTTTCAAGTTTTCAACAATATACTCGATCAACTTCGTTATCGTCTATTGAAAAAATTCTATACAAACATATTTCATTCACAGACGTTGACTAATTTTCCTGAGTTTGCTTATTTGACACTTTAGCTGACTTATTGATTAACTTGACTACAAAAAGATACGTGGCGGCTTCTGAATTAGTAGAAAAAGGTATATGTACATAGTTTTGTTAGCCAAGGTTGTCAACAAATTTTTAAATATTGCAAAAAAAGTTTCAACTGAAAAATTTTTTCAAGAATAATTATCTATATTGTTTTTGGGTCTGACTGAGGAGAAAATAAAATTGGAGCCAAAATGCAAAAGGAGGAGTTGGGGGACACAAATTTTCAAATCAGAGCCAAATGGCTCCGATCCGCCTGTTGACAGCCCTGGAGCTGATGATCTGATTGATTAAAATATTTTAAAAGCTTTTGGGTGCATTTTATGTACGTATGTATGTAGCAATAAATAGTACATTTGGTTATTAATGTGTTCACTTTTTAAAAAAAATGTATGCGAAATATTGTTTTGCAACATACAATGTGAGCAACTTTAATGTACGTACATATGTATGTTTTTTTGGAACAAAATTGAAATAATTCACCCTCTGTTGTTTCCCTGTTCATTTTACAATGATTGAAAGCAACTAACAAATAATATATAATATTTTATAAAAAGTATGAATAAAAACGATAAAAAAAAGAATGTGTAGTTCGAAATAATATAAAAGTTAATAACAAAGATATATTTTTTCAATATTCTAAAATAATTATGTATATTTGCTAGTTTATACAGCACGAAGCTCTTCTATAAACTCATTTAATTTAAATAATATTAGAAATGTTAAAATGTTTATAACTATTACAACTTACACATACGAATATTTTGTTTTGTAATATTGTTTAAATTACAATTACAATTTAATTGAAACAAATTTGCATGCTTGAATCTTTATATTATATAAAATTATATAATTACTTATATAATATTATTACTTTTTACTTATATGACATACAAATAATTTTCTACACATTAGGTAAAATATTTACAAGTTTTATATATAATTTAAAATTATTTAAAAAATAAATTAATAAAAAAGATATCCATATATACATACATATATGTGTGATTAAAAAAAATATAAGTCCTGTAAGGACCAATAGGGTTTTTACTAGTTAAAAGTTTACTAGTAATTTTTTTTTGTAAATTAAAAAATGAATTCTTATTTTCTTTTTATTCCTAATTTAATCTAAAAAGAAAAGCTTTTAGTTTAATTACACCAATGTTGATAGTTCATGTGGTGATACATTAGTCACGTTACTTATTTCTAAATTTGTTGGTATTCCTGGACTTATTGAGCCGCTAGCATCTCTATTTGTACCATTTATCGTTGGTGGCGGTGGTATAACTCCGCGTGTATTATTATTATTATTGTTATTTGTTCCGCCACCAATTGTTGCATTAATTTTAGGTGTCGGTGGTGTTGCTGTTGCAGCTCTTACAACATAACCAGACATATATGAATGATTAAAGCTAATATTATTATGTGAATGATTTGGTGATATTGGTGTTAATGAAGTTCCATGACTATGCTGTGACGTGTGTGTTAATGGCGTATGATTCGCTTGATTATTCTGGTGTAAATTTAATTGCATTTGACTTAAGCCAAGTGGTGTTGGATTAATTAAATTATTTGTGTTATTATTATTATTATTATTGTTGTTGTTATTGTTGTTATTATTATTATTATGATTAATGTTATTATTATTATTTGCAGATTGACTGTTTATGTCATTTGTATTAATTTGACTTTGATTTGAAAATTGTATCGGTGGTGCTATAGCACTTATTTGTGGTGAAATTTGCAATTGAAGTGGTTGATTTCTTACACAAATTGTTTTTTCTTTTTGCCAAACAAAAACATTATGTACCATTGCTCCGCCACAAAATACAATACCAATACCAATTAGAACACTTGTTATTATAGCTGGTGTTGAATGAAATTGTGTAAATGTGTACAATATAATTCCTAAAAAAGAACAAAAATTAAATAAAAAAAATATGAAAATTTTGTATGTACACATAATATGTAAATAATTTCATATATTAAAAAAGAAAATATTTAAATACCAGTTAAAAATATTGGAATGGAAATGAAAAATCCTCCAACCGCACAAACCCGACTTACGCTTGATTTTTCAAGATATTTGTTACCCCTGCAATATTTCAATGAAAAAAGATTATCATTAATAAATAAAGAACACGAATTTTGTATATGAATAAATTTAACATTTTGGATTAATTTTCATCGAAAAAAGCATAAAACAGAAAAATAATAATAAAAATTTTTAATACAGAAATTTTGAGTTTTTTTAAAAAAATTTCAAAAAAAAAAAGCTGAAATTCTGACTTTAATCTCAAAAATTATGGCTCAGATCAAATTGATTATAACACAAAAGTAAAGAGCAATCAATCGCCTGTAAAAAAGCTAAACCTCAGATGGTTTCTCTATGTCGCATTGTTCCGAAGTTATAAGTATTTATTTATATGCAGGAAGAATCTGATTTTTTTTTCAACAGGCTGTAGATTGAAAACGAATATGTCTGCTATAAATTTACATACAATATTTTTTTTAAATATGTACATATATTTTAATACAAATACAATTTATTAAAACAAATAAATTGATTCTCTTTTAAAATTTTCAGCAGTCAACATTTACACTTTAAGTTACCACAAAAAAAATCTGATTTGGGGGTATTGAATTTCTTTTGAATGAAGTCGTAAAACATTCCTACTTAATATATCTTAATTATATTTAGTTATTCTGTTGTCTCTTTAACTTTTTCCCGATTAATAACAGAAAAAAAGCAAATCATAATCCCATAAAGAGAATGCAGAGTTAAGAAGTGAGTGGCATCTCGGAAATGAAAGTTTTTAAAGCAACTAATTCGACATAAGAATCACAAACACAATTGGTTGACTTTAAAGAATTTGAAGTATATCCATGTTAACCGAATTTAAAATCTTGTTTATTAACCTAATACAATGTTGTACAAGTTTGTAACCCATAAAAAATTTCCCTCCGCATTGTCTTTTTTAGCGCCTAACTAATTTATTTTCCTTAAAAATTCTCTTATTCGAAAAAATGTTAGAGAATAAGTATTTCTTTTGATAATCGATCAAATATCACTTTAGGTTGAAAAGGGCATATAAAAATGGGTTTTTAGGCTGCAGCCCTATAATATATTATAAACAGGCCGCAGCCTACGAATCTAAGCATGCGGATTAATATGTTATATAATAGTATTTGACAATGAAATAAATCGGGAAATTCACTCAAACGCTAACGCTGTTAACTATGCTTTTGCAATTTCTTTAAAAAGAAACTTGTAGGCATGTATGTTGAGTTGAATGAGTCTAATGTAAGTTGAGAAACTTCATATAAATTAAGACAACATGTAAGTTAAGTTTATTAGCTCAAGCGAAATGTTAAGCGCAAAATGAAAAAAGAAATATTTTTATATATATGCTTGCATAGAAATAATGATGAACGCATTTTTGAGTTGAATGTTTATGCATTATGTAAGTATGTACAGGGAAACCTTAAAAATATTTGTTTTATTTTCATTGATAGTGAGTTGTTCCACCTGTGGACAAAACATTTTCGTCTATGTCGTTTCATAACCCTTAGCAGCAACGAAACTTTAAGAATTTTAAATAATTATGATTAAAAATATTATCATATTTAATTGATAAATCACATATAACTTCGGAATTTTACCTGCTTTATAATAAGTATGAATTTATTTTGTTATTTCTTCTCAAAAAATAGCCATTTCGATTTAAAAAAATCATATACATATATTAAGGTCGTGCTTTCAAGTTTTTCTCTTAGACTTGTTTAATATAAAGACATTAGTTGATCTATAAATGGAAAATTCAAACTTTCTTGTATATATTCTTGTATGTAATTTGGTCATTTAGAGGCGTTTACAATTTAACGAAATCTGGCACAAGCAAATTATATTTAGTTTTGTGAATGTTGATGTACAGACCGATTTGCTTACTGTGGTGAAATTTAAGTGTCGCTATCGTGTCTGTTATCTTAAATATTTTAAATGAGACAGTCGTGATATAGGATCTGAAAAAGATGAATTTTAGTTAGAGGTTCTTTTTTTTATGAATCCGTTCTCCCGATATAGTGGTGATAGTAGCTCTATTATTTTTCAACACCGTTTCTTTTTTATAGGTGGGTTTGTGTTTGGATATAATCTGTTTTCCCTTTTCACAGGCATCTTGCCCTTGTTTGCAGTCCTTAGGCTTATTTCTTTTTTGATTTTTCTGATTGAGTTTTATCTGTTGTGACCGTTGAAGATTTTGTGTCAGATCACTGCGCACCTTTTCTTTGACATTAACCAAATTCTGATAATTTACTGCAGAAGTGCTTCCATAGAATATATCGGCGGGTTTTTTCTTTGTTGCTAAGTTATATGTGTTATTGTAGCGATCTACTGCTTATTGAGGATGTTCTTTTCGTAGACACCTTGTGATTTATAATATTATTGAGTGCGCTCTTGCAATTGTTCCGCTTACTTCGTTATTCTGGATGAAGTTTTGTATATCTTTGTTCCTAGGTCCTTAATGTAAGTTAACAAAATAGGGCTAATTAATCCAACTTCGTCATCCATTACAATTATTTCCTGCAAGGTGAAGCAATAAACTACTTTTGTGAACTTATCTCTTAAGTGCAATGCTACCCAGTCCATAAATCCAAAAAATTTAATAAATTTAGAGAATTTGTCTATGCATATAATATATTTGTCACCTTGAATTTCCATTATGTTTAAATGGAGTATCGGAGAGGATGTCTATCATACTTATTACAGTTGCAAATTTCGCACAATTTGATATATTCTTTGATGAGTCTGTTTATGCATGAAAAGTAGTAATTCTCTATTATCTACTCTCGGTTCTCCGTCTAACTTTCGCGTGTCTTCTACCATCATTTGGGTGATTCTAATTTTTAAATTGTTGAAAAATTCCCTGTAGACTTCGTTAAGCATACTCAGGTATTCTTCGGTAATTTTGATCATTTTTTTTAGTTTCTCGTTGTGATTGCGCTTGCCAGAGCAAATGTAAGGGGTATTTTGATTATTCAATAAAAATAATTGCGCAAATCACACAATACCATCTTCTTCTCATTGGTGACTCAATTGACATCATAGAGTTCCTCTATCTTTCTGAGTGATCTTAAGATATACGTAATAAACTTATCGCTATCGTTATGTGCCTAAAGTTCTAAATCATTGGCACCTAAATCATAGACACCTCTTATTAAGTTGATAAGAGATTTCGCAACTTTTGTGAATTATTTTATGAACCTCTTTTAGATTTATTGATGGTTCAATTTGTCGGATGGCCTCTACTTTCTTGGGATTCGGTTTACGAACGTAAACCCATACGAACGTATATTCGAAGGGTATATTAAATTTGTCTTACCGTTTATAACGCTAAGAAATAATGGCCTGCGATACAAACTCAAGGGTATGTTTTTGATCAGCGTCGAATTCTGAGTCGATTTAGCTTTGTCTATCCGTCCGTCCTTCTGTCCCAAAGATAACTTAAAAACTAATTGAGCTAAGTTCACTAAATTTTTTCACAAATGATTTATTGTAGTAAGTGCCAGAATCCTATTTAAATTGGACATGATCGAGGTACTGGTTCGGTTATTAGCGAATTTGACTACATATTAGAAATTATAAAAGCTGTATTATAGCAGCGAATATATTAGTAGGGCTAATGTGTTTGATAAAAGTCGTTGAAATTGCTTGGCTCCTTCTGGTAGCTGCCATACAACTTCAAAAGTTATTTGGCTATACTTCAGAAACTATACAAGCTGTGATATTGAAATTTCACACAAGCGAATATATTAGTAGGGCCGATGTGCTTGATAAAATTTGCTAAAATTTCTTGGCTCTTTCTGGTAGCTGCCATACAACTTCAATAGTAGTTTGGCACAACCAGTATTTTGAAAAACACATAGTACTGAAATTTTGTATAAATTAATATGGTAATACGATCACTTAAAGTCATAGTCTGTCTTATAGTCAGCTATGACTCGTCCCATAGTCGTACGGGTATCACAGAATTTGCACGGTCGACTCTATTTTTTTCTCGTTTTTCAAATAAATTTCTTTATTTACTTTTATTAACTATGCATTCTACTCACCTTCCTATCGTAGCTGGTGCTCTGACTAATTTTACAGCAAATAAAAACTGGATTGCGCATACCAATAAACAACATAAATTTAATGATAACGATAGAGCACATAATGCTAATGTTACATCATATACAATTATATAATCTTCAGGGGATGTTGGTCCGGGTGGTGGCGGTGGTAACTCTCTTCCTCCAGGTGAAATTTTCAATAAAAAAATTAAGGAGAGTAGTGCTAATAGCAAAGACACTAAAATGAATAAAATATAAATAATAATTAAATTAAATGAATAAAATATAAATAATAATTAAATTAAATGAAAAAATTAATAACAACTTCAATACGCGGTCACCAATAACCAACGAAAATCAAACACCTTCAAACAATTACCATACTCAAATACCGTTGACAATAGATATAAAAACCATAGAAGAATCCATCGTAACTCTTAAGAATCGAAAATCACCGGGAATTGACGGTATAGTTAATGAGTTCCTAAAATATAGTGGAATTGAACTTAAACAGGAATTAACTAAATTGTTCAACAACATACTGGCCAATCAAACTGTTCCTTTAGAATGGAAGACAAGTATTACAATTCCCATATATAAAAAAGGAAACAAAAAAGATACAAAAAATTACAGAGGAATTACATTACTAAGTGCGGTTCAAAAGTTACTAACCAAAATAATAAATAATATACTTTTATCAACAATAGAAATCAGAGAAGAACAAAATGGATTTCGAAAGAATAGGTCCACCGTAGATGCCATATTCATCATAAGACAATTAATCGAAAAATCAATCGAATTTAATAAGCCTCTTTTCATGTGTTTTGTAGATCTTAGTCAAGCGTTTGATAGAGTGCGGCTAGGCGATGTGCTTGGAGTTTTACAGGAAAAGGAAATTCATCATTCCTTAATAGGAATAATTCAAGACTTGTACACCAACAACAAAACAAAAGTCAAATTGCAAAATGTGTTAACCGACGAAATATCAACGTCAACTGGAGTTAGACAAGGCGACAGTCTAAGCCCTACTTTGTTCAATTTGATCATGGACAAGAAAATTGAAAGTATTGACAATAGTTCATGGGGATATCAAATTGGCGATAATAACATCAAAATTATATGCTATGCAGATGACGCAGTATTACTTGCAGAAAATGAAGATAATCTGCAAAGATTATTGTATCGAGTGACAAAAACTGCAGAAAGATACAACATGGAGATATCTACAGAAAAAACCAAATCCATGACTGTATCCAAAGATCCAGTACGTTGCAAACTATCCATCAACAATCACATTATTGAGCAAGTGTTCAATTTCAAGTATTTGGGTGTGAACATTACTAGCTCTCGAGATAATGAAACTGAAACGTGTGCCCAAGCAGGAAAAGCCGCAGCCATATCTGGTTATCTACGCGACGTCATATGGAAAAATAAATATATGCTTATAGAAAACAAAGTCCGCATATATAAAACCTGTATTCGACCCATATTAACATACGCCGTTGAGACTAGAGCAGATACATCCAAAACCAAACAAAGATTGCGAACCACAGAAATGCAAACTCTGAGGCAAATCTGTAACTACAGCCTAAGAGACAAAAAACGCAGCAGCGATATCCGCAATATGTGTGGTGTACAGGATATCGTCAGATGGGCCCGCTCTAGACGAAGAAACTGGAGAGATCACGTGCACAGAATGAATGAAAATCGTCTGGCGAAAATTGCAATGACTGGTCAACTAACATCAAAACGACCAACAGGAAGACCGCCGAAGCGATGGAGGGAGTGTTGGACATCACAATCACAAGATCAGACAGAAAGGGGTTAATTGGAAAAACAGGCAATATTGCCTAATACAAGAAGAAGAAGAAGAAGAAAAAATTAATATTAACATGAAAATAGGAAATAAAAGTTTGAAAGAAAAAATTTACTTCATTTAACGTTAATTTAATTATCGTGTTTGTTATTAAAACAAAAGGTTAATTTATGTACATAATTACATTTTAAATTTAATATAAGACGATGTCGTGACATTATAGTCTAAAAGCATTTTTTATTTCGTTTTTTATTTTTTATTGAACTTCTAAAAAATATTCATTAATTCGTTCATCTATAAAACAGGGATATATTTATTTGTAAGGACAAATTTGCTTGTCTAATACTTATTTGAAAAAGTTAGAAAAATCATACTTAATCTGAATCTCGTTAATTAAAAATATGTTTACATATATTTTAATTCAAATGTAGTGTTTACAAATAATTAACAAAATTATTTTGAATCAAAATATTGGAAAGGTTAGTAATCAACGCCATTAATAATTAACGGCGTGATGTTAGCGCTTCTTAAGAGCGCTTCATAAGAGCTAATACAACGAGTTTCCTGAAAACTCCTTACGACATAATCGCAAACGTCTCGTTCGTTTAAAGAATATTGTACAAATTAAATGTACACCTACAATTTTAAATTTTAACTATAAAAACGTTTTTAGACAATAGTTTATATATAAACTTAACCTTATTACGAAATGTCCTCTTCATATGATGAACTATGTTCATATCCGAGAATGTTTATGTTCCCTGATATTTTGACTTGTGAACTTAATTAATTTTATGTAATAAAGCATATTTTAGTGTCTTATTAATTGTACAGGATATAGTATTACGTTATTTGCTTAAAATAATAATGATGAAAAAAGTTCCCCCATCTTTTTTGAATCTCTTAACAGAAGTTGAATTGGGAAGCACGTGTCATTGTTTTCTGCTATCCAATAAAAATCCCCAAAAATATTGAATTACCAAATTACCATTTTTAATAAGAATGAAAAAACGTTTTTAATGATACACAAACACATATACAACGATATATAATATTAAAGAAACTCCATTTGATTGAGTTCCTAACGTTTCCTTTTTCTGTCTAACTATTAAAAATGAACTTTTTATGAACTAAATAACAAAAAAAAAAAAACCTTCAATGGTTAAAGGGATCAAAAACGAAAAAAATATTTTATTTAATAAGTTTTTTGTTTTTTTACTAGTAAATTCTACAATAAACGCAAACATGACAGGTGCATGTGAATGGATACCTTGTTTATTATACAACAAATATAGGGTGAAAAACTTATATGCGTTACCCCTATATGGCATGCGTTAAAAAAGTATACCTTTAAAATAAAAACAAAATAAAACAAAAGCATAATAGCTGAAAAAAGCGCCAAAAATTATTAAAAAATATAGAATTTTACGGTAAGATGTATATTTTGGTCAAATAACTTGATTACATATTACATAAATATTATGTATGTATGCATATGTATATATATATATGCGTTTGTATATGTATATATATATGAATTAGCATAAGTATGTGTATATGTTTAAGCAAAGCGTAATGAATACTAACTAAGAATAAACAACATGCAAAAAATATATCAGGAAAATTATGTTAACACCTGCCTACGCGGAAATATAATTTTTATATAAAAAACTAGCATACATATATGCAATACTATAAAACTATAAGTTTATGTCAATATAAAATCTAAGTATGAATGAAAAATTAATACTTCTAAAGTAGAATTTTGCATGTGTGAAGTTCATACATTTTTTATAGTCACTAATTTAAAGGTTTACTTAATAAACTCAAGTCAACTCAACTCAGGTCTATAAGTAAGAATATTTTCCTTAAAAAAATACTTGTTTTGCTAACACTATTTGATGAAGTATAACTTATGTAGTAGTAACTTATTTTCAATAAAATTAACATGCAAAATTACAGTCGAAAAATAAAGTTATTATTGTTAAAATTTTAAAGAAATTAAAAAATTATATTACACCAAATAAATAAACCATTAAAATATTGCTTTAATAAAATAAGAATATTTATAAACTGTTAAAGCTATAAACGTTTACAGTTTACCGCGTCTTAGAGTGACCTGATGAAAAAAATTAAAAAAAGGAGAAAATGTAATTACGTGGATAATATTAAATTTTATCAGATTTAATTGTGTTAGATGGAAATCCATATCTTTCTGTAATTGAGGAATAAAAAAAAAATGTTTGTTTATAAAAATTGATTTTTTATATAGAATCACCTATAATAGAAAACTGCTGCTTTCTATCTATCTTTAAAAGAATAGAAGTTTTTTATACAGAGACACGAAAGAACGAAAAAAGCATATTTTGCAATTTTTGTGAAATTTAATGGTCACATATATAATACACGTTTATTGCTATTTATGATACTATCAGCAATAAATTATTTTTCCAAAACAAAGAGTTTCTACATTACACTATTATAATTTTATTTGAAATTTCTGTGTGAATTGTCGTCACTATTCCTATTAACTATTACTATATAAAAAAAGTAAAAAAAAAAATAAAATCAAATTCAAAATTTCTAAAGAAAAGCTATTTCGCCCATTAATATGCACTTGTCTTGAATTTGAGACTGTTATGTGCTATTTACTTGTAATATAGCGAACGACGTTAATGTTCATAATGTTTACAAAATGCCAGTCAGCTGGATGTTCTTGAACTGCCTCTCTAATTGAATTATTATAAGTATTTCTCCATATTCCAACTTTAAGGCGCCATAACTCGAGAAGGAGAGCCCAAAAAGTAAAATATCACCAGGTGTTTTTTTGATCGTCAGAAGTTATCCTAATACCCTGCTTCGGGAATACCATTGAATTTCCAAAACTCTGTATAGTCAAAGTTTAAACTTTTGCTACACTACTTATAGGGGAAAATTGCATTTCAAAAAATAATTACAAAAGTTTTTATTAATTATTCAAAAAAATAATTAAAAAGTGAAAGTTAAAACGTTTAACTTCATGTTAACGGTAATTGTATTTAATGAAATTCGTTACAATTCAACACAATATTTTAATTTAACAAAAATTCTTTAATAATAGAAACATTAATTTTAAAACTTATATACGGTGTTCGATTTTGCATTACAATCAGCCTACTTAAAACAAGATGAGGCGTAGGTGGATTATACTTAGCGTCAACTATAACGTTAACGAACTTATATATATTCATAAAAATATAATATTATAATTTTTTTTCTAGAACATGTATTTGTGATTAATAACTTGTGTACAGTATAAGTAATTGAAAATTCTTTTTTTTTTATAAATTTTTTTCTTTTTTTTATTTTTAATTAAAAGTTTCTTTTTCAGAACTTTCAAAAATTTGTCAAGACTTGATTTCTAAATTTTTTCTTATTGTTTTTTCAATTTTTTATAAGAAAAATAGAAATTGTTTGACTACTTTGTAATTTTAGTTTAATTTTCCATATATTTTTTTAAGTAATTTGAATTGCAATTTTCAAGAAATCATTTAATTAATTGCAAGAAACGTTCTTCCGAATTAGAATACCCTTGTCATTTATTTTGACTTGAAACAAAAAATATTCTTAAATGAAGCTATTTTGTTTTCAAAGTTAAAGTCTAATTTCAAAATTATAAAAGACAAAGATCGAAACTTTTATATTGAAAACTATCACATTTGCTCTTTGATAATTTACAGCATCAGCAAAATTATATGCAATAAGTATGTCAAAAATTATTATCTCATATGTATATCCTAAAATATTTAATTCTTATAAACTAAATCCTAATGTAAAAATACCTGGTATTTTACCTGTCTGGTCGTTAATCTGCAGAAGGTCATTTGGTGGAGTAAAGAATTTAAATGATCCTAGAAACATCTTGATGTTAAACGTGAGGCCCGTTTAAGAATATGCATGTCAGGTCTGTTCGTAATGTTGATATAGATCGTATTGAGGCTGTACAGAGGCGTTTCTTTCGTTTTGCTCTTCGTGTTTTCGATTGGTCAGATCCGTATAGATTACCCCTTATGAAAGTAGGCTCCAGCTTTTAACTTAACAGCTTTTCAATGTTCCGCGTTATAATATGGGCTTTGGAAGGCATGAGCCAATGATGCGCGAAATTAACTTGTATTCGTCTGTCTTTTGTACGAATATAAGTAAAAAAAGTGCTTAAAGCCAGACGAATATGCAATAAGTATGTCAAAAATTATTATCTCATATGTATATCCTAAAATATTTTTTTTCCTTTGTTCACTTCTAGAAGGAGCATAGGGCTAGTGCATGATTTCTCATGCACTAGTTTCATAGCGTCATAGGGTTTTAACTAGGTAGGTGACTAACCTGCCGTAGTTTTATTTATATTAATTATTTGAGGTTATTAATATTTACTATTTATTTTTCTAAGTTTTTTTTTAATATCGAATATTAGGAATATTTGAAAATTACTTGTATAATATTTTTATTAGTATTGTATATTAAGTTATAATAATATTGAATATAATTTTTTTATAGTGACCTGACCGGGGTTTGAACCCGAGACCCTTCGGTTAAAGGACCGGTGCCATAACCACTGCACCAATGGTCAGATATCCTAAAATATTTAATTCTTATAAACTAAATCCTAATGTAAAAATACCTGGTATTTTGGCTGTCTGGTCGTTAATCTGCAGAAGGTCATTTGGTGGAGTAAAGAATTTAAATGATCCTAGAAACATCTTGATGTTAAACGTGAGGCCCGTTTTAGAATAAGCTCCAGCTTTTAACTTAACAGCTTTTCAATTTTTAAATTAGACGTATTTGTTTTATAATAAATAGAAAATGCATTTTCTATTTATTGAAAACATTTTTTTACAATATTTAATTAAAATTTTGTGACCCAGTAAGTAAATTTCAACTATAAACTTCAAAAGACAAATAATCTATATTATTCGTTTCTCATTTTTATAATTAGATAGGTTTGTACTTATTTATACAAAAAAAAAATTTAAGCGTTATACAGGAACGTATAATACGTTATACAGGATTCTCCGCAATTATATATTTCTCTGAGAGAAAAGATTTGTTACAACGAAAAATTTTGTCTAATGAGATTGTTGCGTAATGTTGCGTAATGTTGTCATAGTAAAAAAACTGAGAAAATAGGAGAAAACAGCAAATTTATTATTTACATCATCTCTTCATTAGATTCAAAAAAATGTATTTATTTTATTTTTTGAGTAATATCGCTGCTGTTAGAAATACAGACCTGGATCGTGAGAGAATGTGACAGTTCACAGTTGATGAATTAAAACTATTGTTATGGAAGCTATAGAGGGTTTTTTTTAACATCATAAATACCCCACAAGGTCAACTTTTTTAAAATTTTTAATTAGAAAAAATTAAAATTCAATCTTTTTCTACTTTACTAGTGATTATATTCTTAAAGTTTTGTGTTATTAAAACATGAAAAAATTGATTTAAAAAAAACCTCCCAGGCTTTTTTTTAACTTAATGGAAATTTCTTCATGCGACTGCAGAACAGATGGATGACGTATTCAAAGGAACGAGTTAAAGGCAGAAAAATTCATTAAAAAAATTTTTCTCCTCGAACTGGACTCGAACCAGTGACCTACCGCCTTCTAGGCGGACGCTCTACCAACTGAGCTACAGAGGCATGAAGAAATTGCCGACGAAATGTTCTCTACATTGCTTTATACTGTAATCCACATGATTACTAAGTATTTGTTTTGTTTACATTGACTGCTACATACAATTTACTATTGAAACACAAAATAATAAGAACATATATATTTATAGGATTGTGCCTAGGGTTTCTGAAAAACAGTGGTTTTGAAAAAACAGCTGTTGCTGTTTTATAATTTTGAAAAAACAGCTATTAACAGCTGTTTTACTGATTTTTCATATAAAGTGAAATTTCATATAAATTTTCCAATATATGAGAGTGAAAAGCTGAAAAGAGATAACAATTTTAATAAAGACATAAATTTTAATAATTTCTACTTCAATTTATTATTTTAATTCATACTTTTTTTTACATTTATGATACAAAAATTCTTTAAAATTTACTTTTTATAATAATATTTTAAAAATATCAATGCTAATATTGATTTGTCTGATAGACGTAATTAATTACGTAATAGACGTAATCTTCTAATTCTTTGGTCATTGAATTTTTTTCGTTTTGTTGCATGATCCCAGACTGACATTACTAATATAATAAAGAGGTTTAAAAATGGGAATTTTGTATAACTTCAAAATGGGAATTTTGTAAATAATTTTTCATATACTTACTACTTTTCGTGCAAAATTTTATTTACAAACAATTAAGTTGAAATATTTATTTATAAATTATGTGGTGGTTGACGTTGAACTGAAACACTAATTTTAAATAAAGCCAGTGACCACTATGAAGACGAACATTTTTTTTCAATTTCTTAGGAAATTTTTTCCAGCAAAAATTCAAATTTTCTAAGATGACTTGATATTTATACAAATTGTTGTAAATAGTTTGTGAATTATGATAATAAAGATTTACTGAAGAATACATGCTTGCTAGGATTTTTCAAATTTGAATTAAAATTTAAAAATGAAAAACATTAAAAACAGCATTTCAAAAACAGCTGTTTCTGTTTTTTTGCTGTTTTTGATTTTTTCCAAAAAAAACAGCGGTTTTACTGTTACTCTTAAAAACAGTCCAGAAACCCTATGTGCCTATAACACTAATTATATTATGAATTTTACTAATACAACACCATAGTTGTGAAATTAATAAGTATGTGGTTATTACACTAATAATTTAACTTAATGGAAATTTCTTCATGCCTTCCAGGCTCTTTTAATTTTCTTTAAGATTTCGAAATATTTTCACATTGTTAAGAAGTCTAATAATTATAAAATTATAAAAGCCCTGTAATTATTATAAACTTAATTATAATTTGACTTCTAAAACTTAAATTCTAATGTAAAATCTAATAAAATATCTAGTAACTTACTTTCATATTGTGTATTTTGCCACAGTTTTGTATTTTATTCATTTGTGTATTAGCCTAAAAAATATAGCACCACATATTTTTATTCAGTGTATTATCATTTTTTACTCTCAATTCAATCAGATATCTTGCATGACATGGTGGGTTTGACCAAAAATTCAAAACTTCATTTTATTTTAAAAATTGTGAGGTTTTAGTAAATTTTTGTCATATAAAACTTCCAGTAAATAGGCAAAAATCATAGCTTTAAATAAAAATGATTCAGAAATGTTATTTTGCTATAAATACATTCCCAGCTTTAACACATACATTCACAAAAAAAGAAGAGTTCTGAAAATATTTTTGGCATGTCAAGGGTGCATAAAAATAATTTGAACGCAACCAATACTCGTATTGTGGTGTTTTCTGTTTTCTAAAATTAGTAGAAATGGCGATTCATTATTTAAACTATGTACTAGTGGATCAAAAGCTAAATACAGCGAGGTCTAATAGTGTGGTGGAATCTCCATTAAAAGCAGCAGAGCCAACGTGATTCAAATTTATTTAAACGCATTTCTTAAAACTACCAAATTTAAATTTCAATAACATTTTGACAATTCTATGGTAAGATTAAAGAATACGTAAAAGATCTGAACAATAGAGCGTTATAAATACTAAATTAAAATGACATTACAAAGAAATTATTAAATGATAAAAAAATTTAAACTTACCTAAGCATAAAAGTCCTAAACTGGTTAAAGCTTCTGTGGCTCCAATTCGAGTTTTGGTATTTAAAATGGTGCTATTTGTTGTATAATTGCATGTTGCATTTGTTAAATTTAAATTATGATTATATTGTTGATGATTATTATTACAATTACCTTTTACATTACAATTATTATTACTATTTATATTAGAATTTGAATTTGAAGTTACTGTTATTGGAGTTGAATTCAATAAAGCTGAATATCTTAAACCACCATTTGCAATTAATTTTGGAGGTATTGTTAATGCTGTTGTTGGTGTCGATAAATTTGATACATTTAATGTTTGAATTGTTGATGACGATGGTGGTTGAGGCGGTTGCCTACTGCTTGTTGTTGTGTGTGGATGTGGAAGGCCCCGCGTCGGTGGACGTGGCTGACCTGACGAGGGGCCAGGTGTCATATGTTTTAACATTCAAATTCAAACCGCAAATAATTGAAAATATTTTTATCAAAACTTCCTTTTTTTCTCTTCTGGTTTGTATTAATTATTTTTGTTTTTTTTTATTTAGTATTTATGTATATAAGTACATATAAAAATATTATAAAAATTCAATTGTTTGAGTTAATACTTCTTTTGACATGCAAAAGTTCAAAACAATTCAGTCTGAATAAGTTTCTATTTTTAAGAAAATAATTTAAATTATTATTTAAACTGTACTTAAATTGAAATTTTAAATTTATAGATATATTGAGTAAACTATTAATTTTTATATTACAGATATGGTCAATGAAACACATTTTAATTATTATAATATTCCATATATTCAAATTGTTTTCAGTCAAACTAATTTACATATTTAAGCATTAATTTTGAGGTTTTTTTCTTTGATTGTTTTATAAATTATGAAGAGTTGCTAATATCAGAAGATACGAGTACTTTAGAATTCATGGCAGTATGGAAATTTTATTGCATAATCAAAATCTGAAACGGAAAAAAATATCAAAACAATTTTCATAATTAATTTTTTATATATTAATTCGTTTAATGAATTTTCTTTAAAATTTTTTGAAAAAAAAAAAAATACTAATTTCTCTTGAAAGAAAAAAAAAATTGTTTTTAAAAATTTTAAAATTTAATTGTGATTAAAATTTAACTCTTTTGATCTGGTGTACTTTCTCACCATGAGAGGACTTAAACTGTATGGTCTGTATGCGCACCAATGGCCACAAACAATGTCTTGGCAAGTGACCCAGTCGTATCAAGTTGTCTTCCAAGGTGGTCTTCATTCCTAAAACTGAAGAAGCTCACATAGCTCCTATTCTTTATACCATTGCTGGATCTAGGAAGAGCATCGATTCCCTAATTCGACTGATACAGAGGGTCTTTAACCTCGTTTCTGACAGTACTGTCTTTAAACCCACAGAAGACGAATCTAGTTATTTTTAACAGGAGATACAGGGTGCTAATAATAATAAAGTGTCCAAGAATAATAAGGTCTGATTCTTAATTCACAGCTGAACTGGAAATCTAACATTATGAAAGGAGTTACGAAAGCAATTATTGCGCTTTACTCGTGCATGGTACAAAACATGGTTTATTACTTAATTATAAAGAACGGCAATGGTATATGTTACTGGGGTGTTGGGCCTCACTTCTACTCACGCTCTTGAAATTCCCTCATTCCTCTTCCGTCATTGGATATACTGGAACAGATGGCTACCTAGGTACCTACAGGTACTGCGCAACGCAACAATGGAGCAAGTCAACCTCTTATGATATCTCATAAAATAAATTCCATAAAAATTAATTCAATCTCTAACTTGTTCCATTAATTTTTCTATATTAAAATAATTTATTATTTTATATGAATTTGTGTTGCACTTTTCAATATAATGGAAAAGTAATTTGCAATTTTTGCATATATACGATATAGCACTTTTTATGTTACAAGCGACGCAAAGCTTTACTGTTGTTAACTAGAAAGGAGTTGTAAATTAAATATAAGATACGTAGCGTATAAATAAAATATATCCATAAAATATATAGGGTACGTATTTACTATTGAGAGAAAATTTAAAAAAATTTTGTAAAGCAAAACAGCTACTATGATACAAAAACTGGATATGTTGAAAATTCAATCAAATTTTAACAAATTTGCCTTTTTTTATCTGTAAGCATGCCAAGATATATGTACCTACTTCTACCTATTTACAAATACATATCTAGTATTTTTATTACTTGAAATTAAAAGTCTTGAGATAAATAAATTCTTTTGGTTCATATGTAGCTTTAAAAGTTTTAATGGTTGCATATTTTATAGCAGCACAACAATGTAGCATATTCATATATTTCGTAGTAAAGAGACATAAAAATTTTGTTTGCTTGTGTAAACTGATTTTTAACTTATTTGATATGAAATTTTAACATTTTAACTGAATTGAATTTCGAGTTCGAATTAGAAATAAATTATTTGTTAAAACAGTCGTCATAACGGCTTATACAATTCCGGCAATGTTTATAACAAAATAATGATCTTACTATTATATATGAAAAATTTAAATACTCTAAATGTTGTTAGGCAATATTACCAACTTATTAATTTATAAACTTATACGATAACGCTCAAATTTAACCGGAATAATAAATAACGTGAATAACATCTATATTTGTCGGGGTATATGTAAAATATTTTTCAAGTTTTACAGCTGCTATACTGCTTCGATCGAAGCCAATTTCTTTTGTTAATATTACACATGTTTATATATTATATTACGGCTACGAATACATACATTATGTACATTAAGTTGAACTTATTCATACAGTCTATGGCACACATTATGGAAGAATTTATTTAATGCAGAAAAATAGTTATTTCAATTTTTAATTTACAGTTTTACTTTTATACTTTTACTCTTAAAAAATTTCAATGCTGATAATTTAACTCATTTGACATTGCCTCATTTGAAGTATAATAAAATAATAGAACATTATCAAATTGTGAGTATACTGAAAGAGGCAAAACAGCCGGCAATTGAACATTGTACATATTGAAATAAATTCAATAATAAAATTTTTTATCGTACTTCTTAATAAAAAACCGCTCAATTTGAAATAATTTTTACTTAGTAACCATATTATGAAAATATATATTTCTTAACTACATAATTTAATGAATAATTTCAATTTTTAAACATTTGGTAACCTTATTTTTTCAAATCAATGAAATGCTAATGTTGAATTTTAAATTTTTTTTTACTTTTTTTAAAAAGTAAAAAAAAACTCAAATTTTATAAACCTATGTAGGATTTTTATTTGCCTTATACATATCTAGTATATACATATGTTATAAACAAAACAATGTAGTGTATAAACATGTGCGCACACATATAAATTTACATGTTGCGTTTATGTATCTTGATATATTAAAATTGCAGCATCAACAAGTTTTTCCTCTTTTTATATGCATACATACATATGAACAATTTAGGTGAAAAATCAAATGAAAATAAAAAATTTTTAAAAAATAATTCCGGTTTACGAAACGAAAAGAAAAATATTTCAAATATTTTAAAAAATCTTTCTAATTTACCAAATTTTTTTCCCTTGAATTCTTTACGGAATTTTATTTTTTATACAAATCAATTGTTCATATATGTATGTATCAGAAGTGCGCAAATGTTATTTGAATAATGTCAGATTTTCAGCCATTGGAAATAAAGTTGGTTCTAACCAATTGTTTGTAATGTAGCACTTGTCTTTCCAAAAAGTAAAAATACTGCTTTTAAAAACGAACTAGCTATGTACTACATTAATGAAATTATTATCACTTATATTCGAATATATTTCAAAGATTGCATACATTTAGGATGATCAATATATACAATCTTTGAGCTCGGATTTAAGGGTTAAGCAAATTAATTATATTTTCTAATCGCTTGCATTTACTGTTAGTTTTCTGCGTTTATTGAAACAACGGTAAATTTTAAGGACCATTGTGTTTTTTTAAAGTTTAAGTATGATATGCCGCGGTAGAAGAAATTTAAAAAATGTTTAATATGTTATGTCGCTGTAATAAAATGATAAAATATTGCATTTTTAGAGTTTTAGGTGGCTTTAAATATTGGAAGGAGATAGGTAAAAATTTTCTTCAAGGGAAATTACTTTCTAGTAAAGATCTTTGTACATATGAAATATAAGCTTTCTATCTTCAAGGGTGTAGAAGTTTTCTAAACATGACCACGGACGAACAGACAGATAGAGTGAAACTAATAAGTACTTTTCTCAAAATTTTTTTTGGGCAAGTGCTAAAACATGTAAAACATAAAAGTGCGTATTGTTTTAAAATATTGTATTAGAAAGAATTTTCTCTGTTAGGCTTTACGTTAAGCTCTATATTTTTCTTTTGAGTTTTTTTTTTTGAGTTGATCAAACGAAAACTCAAATGGAATAAGACATAGAGTTAACAGTTGTCTGTCAAATCGATATCATGTCGATTTAAATCGACAATCATGTTAATGTCATGTTAATGTAGAACAGATTCTTGCGGGAGGTGATTATAATGCCAAACATAAGGAATGGGGCTTTATATTGACCTCAAGATAGAGAAGAGGTAGAGAATTAAGAAAAGATATTCGGGAGTTGGGATGTCTCTTTTGATTACTGATGCTATTGAAAGAAAAAATATTGAAAAAAGATTTCGGCTGATTTTTATAAATTGGAAGATGATTTTAAATTGAATTCCGACCACTCTGCTCTCATATTAACTGTCAGTGAGCTAACAAACGGAGCCAGCCCACGTTAGTCAACAAAATCATAGATTAGGTAGGCCTCAAACATGATGGTAATAGAAATATAAATCTTAATGCTGAGCTGCAGATTAGATAACTAAATCAAGTAATTATCCTAAGGCTACAACTGATTTAGTAGAGAACTATGAAACCGATAAAGCTGATCCCCCGCTTGGAAAAACAGGTAGATCATGAGGAAGAAATGGGGAAAGAGCTGAGCTATTTACGGATCACTTGGAAGATTTTTCAACCAAAATAACTGAATTCTAGAAAATTTTGTTATGAATGAAAGGACAATGGCTTTATTTAAACAAAAAGAATTTACGAAACAATAAATTCGCTTAAATCGAATAAGACCTAGGTTTTAACCTTTGCCGAAGAAGGCATTGATATTTTTAAAAAAAAAAAGGATTGATTTCTCTACCATTAATGATGTCAAAATTTTTTGAAAAATTGTTAATAAGATTATAAAGACTTGATTCCAAACCATAAGTTTGGTTTTGGAATGAAGAATGCAAATATTGGGGAAAAGGCGTTAGAACAAAGACAAATATGTTCGGCGATATTTCTGAACGCGGTCCATGTGTTCAAAAAACTTTGGTACGACGGTTTTTTAATTAGATTTAAGAAATTAGTACATTTACAAATCGTATACTTACTTGAATCATATTTATCTGACAGGCTTTTTAGAATCAAATTGACAGTGTGCTTCGATTTTACCGACCGTATTGCATACAATGCGTGAAGGCAACAAATTTTGCATATCGAGTTTTCGGTGGGTCAACACTTCTCCATGGTAGGGAAGTGTAAATAAACTATTTTTAGCTATTGACTATGTCACGGATGGATCAACTGTTGGGATATATGAGGCCCAGAGAGCTGGACTTTTTTGCGGGCCAATTTTAGGTTTTTGTTCATATAAAGAGAACTAATCAAGCAATTTCCTTGAAATTTAACATTTAAATTTGGAGTGT